AAATGCAAGGCAATAATTAACTTCATTGTGGTGGACCTACTTGCCACATACAACATCATTTTTTGGGGACCACTACTACATGCTTAAAGAGTGGTCGTCTCAACATATAATGCGGCAGCCAAGTTCCCGGTGCGTACCTAAGAAGTCATAGTAAGGGCTGACTTGATCTAATCTGTGTGAAATGTATGTATGCATCGGGAAAAAAAAATTACATTTTGAAGTAGAGAAAGGAGCCGGACTGGGGACCACTAAAGTAGTAGAGGAAGTTCCGATAACAGAGGGCACCCTTGGGTGAACCCTCCTAATAAAGCATGTCTTTAAGCCTGGAGCATTGCGATGAACTCATCCAAGTCTTCAAATATGTTGTCAATGTGTTCACTTGGACAATTGTTGAGATTTTTGGCATAGACGGCGAAGTCGTCTGCCATAGACCAAACATGAACTTTTTCAAGCAAAAAATAAGGAAGATCGTAACCATCCTAGCTGATCTTATAAAGCAAGAGGTGTAGAAACTCCTTGATGTTGAGTTCATAATTGAAGTAAAATAAACTGATTGGATCTCCAACATGACAATTGCATAAAATATGGGTGAAAAATGAAGAATGTGCAATTGTACATATACTTCACCAGCCCGAATGCGGCCTACCCTTAAGGCAATCACCCACTTCCAAGGGTCAACTAGGGGTGCAACCGAGTCAAGACGACTCATGAGCTGGCTCGGGCTCGACGAGTCGAGCTTATTGAGCTCGTGAGTTGAGCTCGAACAGGATTTTGAGCTCGACGACCTTATTGTGCTCGAGCTTGAATAGCCCTCCGCTCAACTCGATTACTCGAGCGGCTCACCGAAAGAGGAACGACGACAGATGGCATGCCAGAAGACAAAAACTGCACACTCAGACGCAGGATGAATGTCAGGATCGTAGTTGGACCTCGGACGTGGGAAAATGAAAGGTCGGATGCCGAATGAATGTCGGGATCGCACGCGGTCTGGTTGGCTGACGGGAAAATGAAATCGCTAGCGGGAAAACAAATGGTGGGAAAATGAAAGGTCGGACGCCAGATATGGGATCTGAACTCGGGTGCGGGATCGGAACTCAGGCGTGGGATCAAAACTTGGGCGCAAAATAGGAGCTCGAAACTTCGAATTGAGTGGCTTGAAATTGGAGCTTGAAACTTCGAATCGAGCGGCTTGACGAGCTCATTTCAGTGGGACGAGTCGAGGTTGGCCTCGACTTTCGAGCTTTAGTTCGAGCTTGGTATTTGGCTCGCGAGTCGAGCTCGAACACCCCTTGACTCGAGCTTGACTCTACTCGTTTGCACCCCTAGGGTCAACTCACTAGTTGGATTCCTCGTCATGAGCAAATCACTGCATAAACACATCTTGGACTTGAGTGAAACATTTGCTACACAAAAAAGGTATAGTATGCTACTTAGCACTTTGATATATACTTTTCATGTAGGATCAGACAAAGTCTCGAGGGTTTCTCTTTACCTCGGAAGGGGTCAAGATGAATCCAAACGAAGTGAAAGCCATATTGGAGATTCAACGACTTATAGGGCAAGTTGTTGGTCTTAACTGCTTTGTCTCGAAGTTGGGTGAAAAATGTTTGCCCTTATTTAAAGTTCTTATGAGTGTAAAGCATCTTGTATGGTATGAAGAATGTGAGGCCTCTTTTTAACAATTGAAGATGCTTCTATACTCCGCGGCTTCTGCAAAGCCCCCAACAACTTGATGAGGACATTGTAAGCTAAGTCCTGGTCATGGAAGGAAGTTGTAGCTCATCTACTATGTGAGCAAGACATTTAGAGTAACCAAGCTCAAATACCCAATCATGGAAAGCATGGGCTCTAATTATCTCAACTTGATGGCTTCGACCTTGTTTCTAAGCACACCTACAGCTTAAAACAATGATTGTCAAGCTAGACCATTTTGGGAGAATATTAAAATGGGTGGTTGAGTTGAACAAGTTCTGAATTACTTACATCTCGAGGAAGGCTATAAAAGCTCAGGCCCTTGCCGACTTCACGTTTGTCTTAGCTGAAAGGAAACAAACGAGTGAATTTGACTAGCTGTGGATGGCATCCGACGAGAAGGGAGTTGGCACCAACTTTGTCTTAAAAAGCCTGGTAGGGGTAGTACTCACACAAGTCGTGGAGTTTGAGTTCCAAGTTACAACAAGATGGAGTATGATCATGGGATTGCAAAAAAGATGGAGTATGATCATGGGATTGAGTTTTGCAATCGCCATCATAGTGAAACATTGATTATTCACTTGAACTCACAGCTAGCGGTGAATCAAGTCAATGGACAATATGAAGTGCAGGATGAAATGCTACAATTGTATCTTTTACTATCAAAGGTTGGGAATCCAAATGGACGACCTTCCTTGAAGTGGTCCAGCGCACTATTGAATGAGAGAAAGTGAGCGGAAGAGGATGATGAGGTGAGTTAGATAGACCTATACATTGAGTACATGAAAAAAAGAAAGATCACTCGGTGGCCGACCTTTGTAGGTTCCAGATTAAGTTCTCTGATACATCCTAATGGGTGACGAGCTTTTCAGAAGATCAGCAATGTTACTTAATCTAATGTGCACAAAGGAGAGCAAGGTGGAAAAGATATTGAAGGAGGTACACTTGTTAGTGATGGTTGATTATTTCTCTTACTTGATCGAAGCAAAGGCACTAGCAATGATAATAGTTGTGATGTCGTTCACAACTTTATTTGGTCTGATGCCATATGCAATTATGACCTCCACCATTATCATCGATGATGTGCCCTAGATTGCAACAAAAATCAAATAATTTTGCTAGTCTCAGGAAATTGACCTCGAATTCGCTTAAGTATATCACCCCTAAATGAATGGCCAAGTCGAGGCGACGAACATGCAAATTGTGAATTTACTAAAAAAGAATGTTGAAGGAGTAGCTAGCAAATGGTAGAGGTGCTATATTTTGTCCTAAGGGCACTCATGACCACATCGTCCTCGGAAATTGGTCAAACCCCATTCACTCTCTCTCTCATGGAGCCGAGGCCTACTCCTAGTTGAGATGAGTTGCATAGCCAGCGAGTGATCGCTGCCTCAAATTTGAAGAAGGTGAGTTAGGCTAGTGAGAAGAAAGAAACTACAAAGAGTTGGAAACTGCTACTGATATGTTTGAAGAACTTTGAGCTAAGACATCACTTAAGCAAGAAGAAACCAAAAGGCAAATGGCAAAGTAATAAAACTTACATGCCAGAGAGAAGGTGTTTGATCCATGAAACTTGGTGTTGAAAAAATTTGACGCTGTAGCTTGCCATTCAGTGCTGAGGAAGCCAAGCTTGATATGGGTGGACCTTGCATTATCAAAGAATGAGTGGGCCTCAGAGCATATAAGTTGGAGATACTCTGAAAAGAAAGTGCCCATAATATGGAGCTCCAATGACCTCAAGATCTTCCACCGTTAAGCGTAGTTTTTATTCATTCTTGTATCTCTACATTTTACTTCACCTCATAATTGAAGTCTCTTATTTTTTTAATTTTTTATATTGCTTAAATGCGTCAAGCTCTTCACAACAAGTAGTTATAATTTAAGCGAAATTGTAACAACCTTTTAATTGACAAATTAATATTTAAAGAACTACTTTTTAGCAAAACTCGGGGACTCGGGGAACTCACCCCCTTGCTAGCAAAACTTGGGGAAATTACCCCCATTCACTGGCAAATCATCCCCTTTCAACGCTCGGGGAACTTGATTTTAGCTTAGGGTCTCATAAAAGAAACTTTCTTTGTAGGAAATGCCGAGAGTTTGACCTCTATAGAATTCACCATAGCTCGAAGTTCGCCAACTCCAAGCTAGGGCGAGTGTCGAGTTCATCACTTGATGAAGCTCTACTTACAGAGATACTCGGTAGCGAATGAAAACGATGTGCAACTTGAGTCCTAGGATCAGGTGATCTCAGCTCAGGGTATAGTATCACACTAGGCTATATAGTTGAGATGTATGGAACTCTTCTCAATGCAACTAAACTATTTAATCTAACATAAAATTTGGTTCAATTTTAAATTTTTAATTTGTTTTGCTTAACAAATTATTATACTGGATTAGTAACTTTTTATCATTTAAATTTCATGATCATATTCTTAGACAATTATTTTCATCAATTACCTTCTATATGCTTCTAATACAATCATCTATGACATTTACTCTTTGTTATGTCATGCCTTACTACTTACGTGGAATGCCTTTAAGGCTTTAACACTAGCAAATATTAAATTACAAGTTTATAGATTTTTGCATAGGTTTTATGATTGATTTTCAACCTATCATCGACTTCTAATTTTTTCCACTTGGGCTTGAGACTGAAAATTATAGTTTAAGTGGTTTGATTCATCATTCATCAAATATGAAATCCATAAGAAAAAAAATTTTGTATAAAAGAATTTCATGATTTTCAATGGTGAGCTGTGCGCTTAGTCTCATATAATTATGCTTTGTGTGTACAAACTTTCCTCAAATCGTTGTTCCTAAAATTTCAGTTCAACAACTTGCTTTTATCCATCCGGACAGTTTGGTCCTGGAGACTGGAGTTTAACTGATTGTTGCTTATGCTTCTCACTTTGAGGCTTGGAAGTTTTGTCCATCACTTTGAAGCAACAAATGTGTCTTTCCATAATGTGTAAACTTAAATTGTCTACCATATATATTATTTCCTACGAGAATTGGTCATCTTTTCTCCTTCCATTATTGAGTAATAATTCATCATAATTGCAGCAGTTCTCCGTTCTACCTCTATCTTTATAGAAACTTTTATTGGTATACTGTTCCAATTTTTTCAACTATAAATTTGGGTTTTTATCTTTAATTACTTCTATGCAAAAACTTAGATGCAATATTTTTATGATAAAAGTAACCTTCATAAGCTTAAGCTCCGTCTGAATAAAGGCAGTACATATTCTTTCTTAAGAAATCTTCCTTCTGCAAATTTTTAGTAGATGTAATTCGTTATCCTGTTTAAGGTAGCGCTTCTCTTTCGCAAACCGTCTACCGGAGATCCAGCTCCTCATTCCATGGAAGAACCTTCCAGATTCCTGCTCCAAAGAGGTCCCATATAGTAGAAAGATCTAACACATCAAGACCTGTTACTATGATGGCCAAGCCTGCAATTCAGTTTATCCAAGGAACTGATGAGCAGACAATACCAGATGTCAGTTTAACCAAATCCAGGGATGGTACAAATGGTGTTGCCACGTTCATCTTTGATGAACCTTCTGTATTTGATTCCTCCAGTGAACTTGGAGAGATTACTGGTTTCTACATGATTGATGAGGAAGGTGTGCTCCAATCAACCAATGTGAACGCCAAATTTGTGAATGGGAAACCTTCAAAAATTGAAGCTAAATATATTATGCGCACTCCTAGAGATTGGGACAGGTTCATGAGATTTATGGAGAGGTATTCAAATGCAAATGGCTTGCAGTTCATCAAGAAATGAGGTACTGTACATTTTTGAACTGTTTTCCTCTTATTTGCCTTCCTGTACGATTCTTGTAAGTTTCAGTTACTATAAAAGTTTTGCTGAATACTTTGTTATATTATCATTCCTTCCTTAAGTAACGAGTTCTTGGTAATGATTTCTCATTTATTGAACTTCAACTTGACAAAAATTGGTAAAAGATTTCTGATGGAATCGACTAGCCTCACTTGTCTGTTATTTGTGCCTCTCTGGAAGTTGTTTTTTGTCGGTGTTACTGCAGCATCTGGCATTGCCTCTATCATTTCATTAGTATTCAGATGATTTATGAGTCAAAGTCATCATGTAAGTCTGAATCCGATTCAGCAACTTTTTCCTCTTTTTAGTCCACAAGTTGCCAAAGAAGTAAACTTTAATAGATCATTTGATCCTTACTCGTAGGAGAAATTATTCTGTGTGGACACCGGATGGGAAGAACTGTCCGGTTTGTCTTTGTGAACAGTAAAAAATGCAGTTTTGTTTGGATTACCGGACGGAAGGAACCGTCCGGTTTGTCTCTGTGAATAGTGAACTGCATTTTTATTGTTCATAGAGCGGACGGTTCTCACCGTTCGGTTTTCGCACAGAATAATCTCTACGGGTAGGCTTATGAACTTTCCTTGGAATCATGTCATCAAAGTTGCTTAGTAGGAAACTAATTTTCTGGAATACTCGCCAACCGATTAAAGATGTTGGCCACAAAACTGCTGACGAGAAGTTGCTTTCCACTTGGAACTCTCTCAAAAGTTTCTGCTTAATAGGTATTTGCAAGTCAGATTCCTATGCCAACATCTGGTTAGACCAAGCTCCACTGTGTATTTTTTTTTTTATTATTTAATGACCTTTACTCTCACCTAGAAATAACAGGTCAAATTATGAGAAGGTTTGGCTTGGATCAAAAGCAAAGGGACAACTAACCTTCTTTGTGCATGTACATTGGCCATAATATCCCCAGCTGTCTTTTGACTGGACGAGGGTGAATATAACAACATTTTCTGAAGGCGTCAAAACGGGTTGATAGGACGGGTTTGAGTCCAATCACAATTGACTCGATCAAATCTAGTCAATTTGAACCCAACTTGCTTAAAAAACAGGCCAAAAATTCTAACTCGAGCTTGACCCACTAGCAATCCGAATGACATGAATATGATCGATTAACCCGTTTTTGTTTAATTTTTTTTATAACTTATTAAATACCTATAAGTTAAGAAAAAAATATATTAAATGAGTTATTTTTTGATCAAAAATTGGTTGGCATGTAAATTTGAACATAACCATTTAATAAACAGATTAGAAAATCAAATTGAATTTGACATATTTATTAAATGAGTCAATCTAAACTTAGATTTTATTTAACTGGTTGATGGATCAGATCATTTATTGGCATATTTTTTTGTACCTTTTGTGTTAGCCTAATCATACACATAATTAAAATATGACAAAAAAAAAGATTGCTTCTAAGACAGCAAACCTGACATCTTATATGTTGTAAGAGATGGCAAAATTCTTATAATAATAAAATAAAATCAAAATTGGAAACATTTCTAAAAAAATATCAAATATGAAATTTCTTATGAATTTAATAATGTTTTTAATAATTATTATAATTTTTTTAATTAAAGTTGTATAGAAAATATTAATAATAATGTTTTAATGTCATGAGACCTATTTTTACTTTGATTAGAAAGAGAGCCTTATCTGATCTCCTCATGATCTATAATAAACCTTCAATAGGTTTAAAATCTCCATCAATCTTAGTAATTGTTGACTTCAACATCCATAAAGATGAAGAATCTATCATGAGAGCTTATGAAAAAGGAGATAAAATAATTCAATAATAATAATGATTGATCCTCTTGAACAAACAATATATAATATTTCTCAAATTAGGTGGAATTTTATTCAATTGGTTTATCTTATTGCATGCAAAGTAAATACAATTTTTACTTTTGATGTAATAAATTGAAAAGGCTTTGCATTAAGGTTTTTTTTGGGATGACTTCTTTGTTGATTTTTAAAGCAGCTTTTTAATACAATAAATTCTTAAACCAAAAATTTTTATACTAAAAAGTTGTTTTAAAAAGCAGATAGAAAGTTGTCCCAAATGAAGTGTAAGTAATTTTTTTTCTAATTCTATGATTCTAAAATTGTTTTTAAACTAATAAATACATTATATTAGAGGACGATTACTTAAAAATATAAAATAACAACTTATGCTTTATTTGTGACGGTTTTTTTACTGCTTATTCAAGCAGCTTTCTAGCACAAAAAATAAAATTTTTGTACTAAAAAACTTATTGACAAAACAGTAAGAAAACTGTCTCAAATGAAGCCTTAGGATAAGAACTCATACAGACAATTGCTTCAATGAGACTACACAAGGGGCAGTGTGACATGAGAGTGGTAACACAAGTGACCTTTAAGGAATTTTAAAATATAAAATAAATGATAATTTTGAGTATTTTAAATCCCTAAACAATTTATTTGATATTTCCTTATCTATATATAAAACATAAAAAATGTAAAAAATAAAGGAAGTTTTAATACAATTTACTCCTAATATTTTAAACTAAAATGCCCATTAATGACATGATAGAAAGGAGAAAAAGTGGATAGATTTGCAATTAGAAAAAAAAAACAAAAAGTTTATTTTGATTTTTACTTGTGGGCCCTGAGAACATGTGCATCCCATGTGGCATAAGGGCTCAGATTCCCTCCTCTTCCCACTCTAGCCTAAAAAGATGAAATTATTGTCCTCTCTTTCAATGCTTCATTTTAACTTCTAGTCATTTACTTATCTATCTCATTTTGGCCAACTCCCTCTCTTGTCATCTTCTTCTAATCTTTGTTTTATTTGGGACGGTTTTTTTTACTGCTACTTAAAGCAACTTTTTAGTACAAAAATTTAAATTTTTATAAAAAAAGTTATTTTAAAAAGCAATAAAAAAACTGTCCCAAATCAAATCTTAATTTAAGTTAATCAAGCAAATAATATCAGCATTTAGTGCACATACAAAAACAAATTATATCTTCTTACTAGTCAATACCTCTAATTGCAAATAATAATAAAAACATAATAAAATTATAAGTTATATTATAAAGTATCGCTATGAGTTGAAGTAATCAAAGACTAAATAAATTTACATTTAAATAAAATTTATTGAAATTATTATTATTATAACTATTATTATCATATAATAAATGTAATTCTATCGTTGTCAGGTTTGAATTTCGAATGAGAAAAACAAAGGGTTGCATTAGGTCGAAACCTATATTCATAATCCATGCAATTAAATAGCCATTGAAGATAAGCTCAAGCCATAAGAAGAGATAAGAACAAGTGCAAAGGAATGCTTTCTAGCCAAGCCAACTTCAATTATTTTTATTTTTCCTTGAAGCTTTTCATTCCCCTAACTTTTTAGAGAACAACTTGGAATTGAACTCCAATCAGCATGAGTCATATTTGAATTGAATGTACTATGAAATAAATAGATTTTTCGAGGAAACAACTGCTCTATAAAAGCTAGGAGAAATTATTATGTGCGGAGATTAGACGCAAAACGTCATCTGGAGACAATTAATCAGAATGCTCCATGTCAATAGTACCGAGCCGCGGTATCGAACACACGGGTGACATGACGCGATGGTTGGTCTCTGACCGACGTTCGACGTCCGCACATAATAATTTCTCCTATAAAAAGGATTAATGCGCCATTGCTTTTTGAGATGCCTTCAAGTGAAAGTGGAAGGTCTTAATAAACAAATTAGGAATATTAATATTATTTGTTAAAGAGGATCAATCATTATTATTATTGTATTCCTTTATCTCTTTTTCATAAGCTCTAATGATAGATTCATCATGTTTATGGATGTTGAACCTATTGAAGGTTTATTATAGATCATGAGGAGATCAGATGAGACTCTCTTACTAATCATGGTAAAAATAAGTCTCATGACAATAAAGTAATCATCACATTACACAATGATTAATATTTTATATACAACTTTAGTACCCAAAATTATAATAATTATTAAAAGCATTGTTAAATTCATAAGAAATTTCATATTTGATAATTTGTTAGAAAAGTTTCCAATTAATACAGACGGTTAATCCGCCGGCTTTACCACTAGAATTTCTCGTGCTCCCATAGCCGGTGGTATTACTAAATGAATTTTTTGCTACCTTTCGAGCCATTAGCCATTATGGTCTATTTATTTGTCGTAGTACTCTACTCTTGTTTCATTAGGGGTGTCAATTTCCAGTCACGGGTCGGGTTCGGGTCGAACTTGAAATTGACCAAGCATTATTCGGGTCAACCCGAATCCAACCCTTTTTTGCAAACGGGTCAGTTTTTCGGATCCGAACCTGACCCGCTTTGGGTCCGTGTCACTGACACAACCTAGATGACCTGGGACTGTGAAAATAAATGCTAGTTTTCGGGTCAAAACCTGGGTCAAACTCAGCTTTTCGAGTAAAAAACGGGTAAAAATGAGTCAAAAATAGTTCAATCTCGGGGTTTCCGGATCAAAACTGGATTTTCGGGTCAAAACATGTCAATTTCGGGTCACTTTCGAGTCAAAGGGTTTACCCAAACCTGACTTAATTTTTAAAACGGATCAAATTATTGAACATGAACTCGACCCATTTTAGGTCCAGGTTGCCCCTAATCCGAAAATTTCGAGGCGGATTTCAGTCGAATTTTCAGGTCATGTCAAATATTAACACCCATACCTTTCATGGGTTATCATATGTTAATTGGCATGGCAATATAGTGGACCCACAACTGCTCACATTATTTTTCTTTGTCACAATGCCATCTCTTGGTGCTCCAAGAATCAATGTTATGTCACTCGCTCATCCATCGAAGTAGAATACCATACAATTGCCAATATTATTACTGATATCACTTGATTAAAATCTTTACTTATCGAGCTTGATGTCTCTCTACCCACCAACAATAGTCTATTATATATGATAATATTGGTGCAATATATTAATGTGCAATCCCAATTTTCATTCACGAATGATGAACATCGTCATTGTCTTCCGCCTCATTCAAAAAAAAAATGATGCAAAACAATGACATTCATGTCTCTCATGTGTCATGCTCTCAACACGTCTCTTTCTTATCATCGACTCAACAATCTTTGTGCCATGATTGGTGTTATCTCACGTGACTCCATCTTGAGGGGGCATATTAGAAAAAAGTAAATAAATCTATTAACTCTTTATTTTTGGTTACTTTCTTTTAATCATCTTTTCTTTTGATTTCCTTTCATTTACTCTATGTATTAAATTAGCATTCATTAGCTGTTAATTCACTTTCCTTTTAATTTTCTTTCATTTAATATCTATATATTAAATTAATATTCATTAGATTGTTAATTGAATTTCCTTTAACTTCACTGTTATGTATCTATAAATATTATACAAAGCTTGCAATAGAAAATTAAGGAGAATAATTATTTTCCTTCAAATTATCTTTCTTTGTATTAGCTAGCCCCTACTTTTCTAGTTGACTTATGAGTCATTTTTTAAATAATTATAACATAAATATATTATAAATTATATAATTTACATTTTTGGAAATAGTAATAAAAAAAAATAATTCCACTCGTTCATTTCATAATTTGTAAGTTTTTTTTATTTTTTTTAATGATTATGCGACTTAAAATGGTCGTAAATTATTTCAAACATAGGTGTTTGATTGTAAAATACACTAAAATTTCATTACATGCCACCGCCACCTACCACCACTATAGGCTGCAGCCGTCGGCCGCGGCCATGGCCTCCGCTGCCACCGTCGGACGCTTCAGCCGTCCATCCATCTGTGGTACTAGAGATTATTAGGTGAGGAGTGCGGACGGGAGAACCGTCCGTACAAGTACTATGCCCAACTAGTACCGGCACTCGATACCGCTGTATACTGCTAGGTACCCAGTACTTTTACGGACGATGTATATTCCGCACCTAGTAATTGGACGACACATCCGTTTGTGGTCCTATAAGGGAATCCGTTTCGATTCCGTTCTCTCCGATATTTCGGAAATGGATCGTTACGGAATCAATACGGCGATTAATTCAAAAATTCAGTGGTATTATTGTAATAAAATGGACATCCATTTCAATTTACCTCGTCTATTCTTATTGCACCTACTTTGCCCGTCTGTAGTTTATCTTTGTCGCTAATCATATATACTTTCGACTCGCCACGCAACTTTTTTTATTTTTCCACTACACTGAAGCTTGCTTCGAAAAACAGCAGCTTTCACTTCCTTCAGCTCGCGCTCTGCTTTCCTTTTCTAGGGTTTCCTCCGCTTTCCTCTTCCGTAATCGTCAATCTTGGTCTCTTGTCTTCCCATTTCAGGCTGGATACTGAAATCTGAGAAGAATCTACTGTGACTCGGTAATCTAAATTCTTTCCTCGGTGTTCTGGGATCAAAGCAAATTCCTTTAGGTTTAGGGCCATTGCTTTCCTTGTGTTCCTGATTGTATGGTTTGCGCGTGTTTTGGGTGAAGTTAGGGTGGTGTTTGGTGAGGAAGATCTATGTCTTCTTCACGGAATGGGCCGGAGCAGCAGCCACCTCCGCGTCGGCTGCTGCGTACTCAGACGGCGGGAAACCTTGGAGAGTCAATCTTTGACAGCGAGGTCGTGCCGTCGTCTCTTGTCGAGATCGCTCCCATTCTCCGTGTGGCTAACGAAGTCGAGGCAACGTATCCCAGGGTTGCTTATCTCTGTAAGTTACATTCTTTATATGGCGGCTTCTTCTTAATCTAATTTTTTTTTTCAAGTGACAGATTCCTAGTCCTGATTTGTTATTCACAAAGTGTGCGGTGACTGATATTGTGGATTTTTTCATTGTACATGTTAAATTTGTTAACTTTTTAATTCTCCGTGTTTACTAGTTTGTACTCGAGCTTTTTGTGATTTGGGGGTGCTGTAGTTTTCCAAAGCTAGCTAGTTTTAATGCAATTTTCCACTATGTTCTGCTATTTTCATTGAAAATGTTAGAGAGAGAAGCTTAGATTATTTGAATGCCATCACTCATGTGATATATTGGCGTTTCCCTTAATTTTTTTTCTTTGTGTGAAAATTTTCATGTTTGGGCATTATTTGTTAATCTATTTCCATATTAGAACAATTCTGTCCTCTGAAGGAGGATAATGCTTATATCTTCTAACTCAATATCACACAATTCATTATTATCTAAAACTTGAAAAATACTTCCGGAATTAGTTTTATCAAGTTTCATAATAATTTAATCATTGATCAAGCCTATGAAATGACAATGATTGAGTCACATATGGAATCACTCCTAAAGTTTAAGTTTGACTTATGCATTTTGCTAATCAAAAGTGTCCAATATATTCAACATATCACCATGAACCTATGTATTTTATCTTTGCCCATTTGAAGGTTTCCAAAACTACAACTACCTTATCATGCAATTGAAGCCATCCCGTGAAAAAATTTTGATGCTTCTAATTCGTGATTACACAATATTAAAATTTTGATAATTATATATAACTCTAGATTTAATTGTGTTAAAGAGAATGAGCAATTATGACTTAACATTTGAAGGCCATAACATTAAAATTTGTATGGGAGTAGAATGGTGATTCTTTTGCAAGGAGGAGAAAGGTCCATCCCTATATGCACACATGTTTACACACATGGACATACGTGAAGGGCATTATAATTCATGTGTAACGACTCTTATGCTGTGATTGGGGGCTTGAAATTTTGAGAGAAAAGTAAAAGAATTGGAAATAAAGTAAAGACCATTTTTTATTGTGAGTTAAAATGAGAAGAGAGAGAAGAAAAGAAGTGAAAGAGATAAAAAGTTTCAACCTTTTGAAGAATTTTGTTTCTCTCAAAAAACTAGTGGAAATAGAAAAAGGAATTCATATAAGTAAACTTTTAATAATAAATAAACTATACTTATTTTAACAAATGGATAAATGTTAATTCTCACAATCCTTACCTATCAACTTATGAGGGTGTACATATCAAATTAATTCTAATATTTATTTTCCTTTTGTTTCTCTTAACTACCTACCTATCAGGAATTGGATGAAAATTTTTCTTCTCTTAAAAACACCAATAAAAAAAAAAAGAATGCACATGCTTTCTTTTGTTTCTACCTAAAATTTTTCTTCTTTCCTCAACTCCAAGTCAGAGTGTAAGTTCCATGAACATTACATATCTATGCTCCATTAATTTGGATGAAAGTTAGTATGTAAATAATTGTCAAATTCTATCACATTATGTATTATCAATAACATGATGCTATACAATATTAGAACTTAACAAAAATGCAAAAAAAAAGGTGCCCACTTTAATTTCTGAAGGAATTTGCTTGAAGAAAAAATTTGCGCATAGTCATGGAAAAGTTGACCCATTAAGTGATAAAGCTACATGCTGATCATTATGTAGAATTTGGAGAAAATATTATAACAAGTGTCAATGAAACGTCTCAAACAAGGAACATGGTGCAATGCTGAAGTCTAAATATTTTTTTAAAGCCATTGAGTTAGCACCCATTGTGGACTAACCTGAGGACCCTATATAAAATGTTAAAAAATCTGCGATGCACTCATTCATGCATGTGCTTGATAAATATGATCCATTTCTTTTCTAATATTTTCTAGAATACATGAAAATATGATATTCAATCTGAAGCATGAATTAACTCCCAATTTTATTATTCTTGTGCTAGTTAGCCTAATTTATTTGATGTTAGAAAAATCCTATAATTCCAAGTAATTTTTTTGCTTAAGGTGAGCATGTAATTTGGCTTGTAAGTTTCAAAATAATGCAACTTAAATTATTTTTTAGTTAAAATAATCAAGTAAGTGTTTTTTTATTTTGTGATTTCACTAATTAAAGGAAGATGAGAAGGAAAGACATCTTGTTAGAACCATAAACTTATGGTAAGGCAATGATCGTAGGCTTGTTGTGCAAATTAATTTTTAATTTTTTATTGATCAGTGTCTTTTTAGAATGCAATAGTAATTTCCTTTGGAAGTTGTGCACAATAAAGAAATAATAGGGGAATGAAACATTGAGTGAGAGACCAGAATGTCATTAGATCCTTTCCAATGATGGCAACAACATACTTCTTTTTATTGTTGCAAGTTGCAACTAGCTTAAAAAATTGTACTTGAAAGATAAATGGAGGAAGAAGCCGAAATTTAGGAGTGATCTTGATGCGGACATCGCCACATCGGTACGAAGATTTGGCGCATCTATCACAGGAGGCGTCGTAAATCGACGGCTATAATTTAAATTATCATTTATGAGTTATTTTCTGAATTTTAGCTCTTATTTTATGTTATTTCCTGTTTTACCCCTAGGTTAGTTTATGTGAGTGTTGTGGTCAAGGGGAAATTTTGTAATTTTGAGTTTTTCTTATGTTGTGGCCTATATATATGTCCTTAAGCTATTGTAACGGGGATAAAGAATTGATATTAAAAATTTGTGTTCAACAATTGTGCTCTTGTGAGAGGATGATAGTGAGATTTCTATGGAGAGGAATTAGAGTCTTCACCAGCTACAGGATGGGTCCGGGCTCGTGAATTGAAGTCCCTTGGAGAAGGGCAAAGAATCACCCGTCAGTCTTTGGAAGAGTCCAAGGCTCACGGTTTTTATCTTCTATCTCTTGTTTCTATTTTGTTTTTGTTTCTTCCATCTTATCGCTCATCATTGTCATTTTTATATTCTTGCTCCTCCCCCATAATTCGTTTGGCAGCCAGATTCTAGCCCCTCCCCTTTTCCCCATTAGCTCCTCCACCGCCCCACCCGAGCCAAGCCCACCGCCGGCCACTCTTGTTTGTCTCCATGAATGAGGAGTCAATGTCACCTTAATGCTTACCTAAAGAGTTCAAATAATTTAGGAAATTATTTTCATCATTTGAATTTCAAATTTTGAATTTCAAATAGTTTCCTAAATTAGAGAGCTATTTTAGGAAAATATTGAATCTCATTCATGATGTAATTCAAACTTAATTTGGGTTATTTAATTTTGGGCAGTTTCAAATTCAAATCTAACTAATTTGAAATTTGAAATCCTTCCTAATTTGCCATTCCATTTTTGGAACTTTTTAAATGAATTCTATTTGAATTTCAAATTTAAATTGGATTGGGTTATTTACTTTCCTAATTCCTGAACCAATTAAGAAGCCTTAAATGCTTTCATTAAACCTCTCCCTTGCCCATGCATGCCGCCGGCCCCCATGTGAGCAAATCAGGATTTATTTCCTAATTGCCTAATAAGCTCGTTTAGAAATATTTCAAATTAATTATTTTTCCTTTGGCCGAATTTTCCCAGACCCATAACCTCTTTATTTCTTTCCAATTTCAATTCCTCTGAATTGGAAATGGATTCCCTTGGCTCTCCTAGTCACAACAAATCCTGTTTCTTTTATTACCGGAATTTAATCCCGGTCTTCTCTCCTCACCTCTATCTTGGCTTGAAATAATAATGATGGCCTATTCTCCACTTAGTGTTTTTGGCAACTATTTTCAAATTCCTTTACGTTGCTTCTAACAGATCTTTCCTAAGCCTTATTTCCTAATCTAATTTCCCAAATCAACTCATTGATTTAGGAATAGAAAATCCCTCAGATCTCCCCTCTATCCCGCCGCCCTCCCTGTTCCTCTCTCCTTACCCGACCACCTCTCCCTCTCAAATTCCCTCTCTCCCACGTCAACACCTTGCTGGACTGAAGCCTGACTTCTCCTCCCAATTCCCTTTGCTCCTAAGCCTAGATTCTTGGGATTTCTCTCAGATTTTGGCTGCTGAAGCTATCCCGCTGCTGGATTGCTGAAGTTCCTCTCAGATTTTGGGAGGAAAATCTGAACTGTTTCAGGTTTCCTGAAAGGAACTGTTTCAGATTGTTGCCACCCTCCTACCCGTTCTACATCAGATCTAGAGGGTCATGCTACATAGCAGAAATGGAGTCCCCCTCACTGATTCCTCCTAATTGTGGAGTGGAGGAAGAAAGAGAAGCCATTTTGAATTTTTGCATATTGTTTAGCTAAGGCCTCAAGCTTAGAATGTTTCTTCTGACTGCTGTGTTTTTATGATTTTTATGAACCAACAATGGGCATTGATTACTTTTGTTTGATCAATTTCTTGTATGTTATTTAATGGAGTTTGTTTGTTACCTAAAGCTGTGTATGGATCATCTATTGGTGAGTAGCTTCAATATTTTTTTTTTAGTTTGGTCAGGAATCGCAAGGTGGACAATGTATTCAATGTTATTTGATCAAATATTGATTTTATCGGCAACCGAAATGGATTCATGCCATCATAGACTACTTTAGTTTCACTTTGTGATTTCATGTTAAGTAGTATTTGCTTGTATGCTATTTAAAGCCTAGAGTTTCTTTGTAATCATATTGATGATTTTTTCTCCTTGCTAATGGACAGGTAGGTTCTATGCTTTTGAAAAAGCACATCGATTAGATCCAACATCAAGTGGGCGTGGTGTGAGACAATTCAAGACTGCTCTTTTACAACGACTAGAAAAGGTTGGTTATCTAGATTTTTCTATTAACTACTACGATATATCACCCTTTTTATCTTTAAATGCTTAAATTTATTTTGCTTGAGATGCTTCTATATTATGGATCTTTTCTTTCAAATATGCTTTGGGACTTTCAGCTTTACTTTGTATTTGAATGTGGTTTATGGCATTATTGATTGTATATGATGTTCATTATAAACAGATGTTTTGGGGGCTTTTTCATTCATATTTTTTTTGCACTTACTTGGTATGTGGTATTTAGTTGCTAAATAGTGAAAAATCAAAGCTGTAAGATATCAGTGTTGATGGAAATCATTGAGTTAGTCACTGCCGATATGTATAACTTATCACTAGAGTATATCGAGAGTTAGTAGTTTTAGTAACAGATGTTCATCATTTTGGTAGTGATTAGAATTCCATTGAAATAAATATAAGGAGTATCATTCCATTGTTAATTTCTGGCTATTCCTACGATTAGCCATCACATCTTTTGATGTGAAACTAAATGCGATGACAATAATTGCAATTAAGAGATTAATAAAAGTTATGAACTTTGCGTACTACCAATAAAATCTAGTTTACTCAAGTGGAAGTTTAAGAAGATATCATGAAAGATTAAGCACTAGAAAAAGATTACACTTTGAGATTACTAGAACTTGCAAAATAACAACCAAGACTAATAGATAATGCAAATAGCAAATATAACAAAGCCTCAAATTTAAAATCTGGATCCTTCACCTAGAGCTCCTTCACTCAACTCTTGAAAGTGGAGGCTAGTGGAGGAGGATTGCAAGTACACTTAGAGATGCCACTATCACACAAGTGATGCTCAGAGGACTAGTCGCCGGGAAAGAAGCGGGAGTTGGGGAAGCAGGCGGACGTCCGATAAGAATCCACGGAGTTCTGGGTCGTTGAAGATCGATGGTTTCGGCAAGGCAATAAACTATGCGATTGACGTAACGTTCCACGATGACGTCGTACTCCCAATCCAGCTCGTAGAAGGGGGAGAGGAAGATGTCAATCTCCCCTTGTTCGTTGTAAGCGAAGCCGTGATCAACTTCCGGATCCGCCATGCATCCATGTCGGGAGATGAAGGAGCAACGACGGAAGCAAGGAGAAGAGGAGGGGTGGATGTGGCGGTTTGGAGGGAGGAGGACGTGGTGCCGACGAGAAGACTTGGAGGGGATCGGCTAGGATGGGAGGTCAAGAGGTAATTGCAGAAAATCTGAAATTGTTTCAGATTTTAGTAGTTTGGGGATGTATTTAATTTGAAAGTTCAAATTAATCCCAAGAGGGGGAGAGGGGTGGCAATGGGGAGGGATTTGGGGCTGAATTGGTGGAGCTTTTAATTTAATTTGGGAGAGAGGAAAGCCCATTAAAGGGGGCGGCCATATGTATTGGATAGAGAGGCTTGGGTTTTAATTATATGGGGCCCACACACTAATCAAAAGTTTTAAGAAAAAATATGAATTAAATTTCAGATTTTCTATGAAGGGGAAAAGTTTCCTAATATAAAGGCAATTAATTGAAATTTGTTTGAATTTCAAATTTAAATTGAAATTCAATTAAGAGGATTGCCTAAAATCATGGAGTTATTTTAGGAAAGTCATCAATGTCTCTTGGGGAAAATTTGAATTTCAAATTTGTAATCCCAAGGAGGGAGGCCGGCGGCTAGAGAAGTGGAGAGGGGATGAAGGGGGAGGAAGGCCGGCGGTGGGTGGTTGGCAGAAGGGGCCGGCGGCTTGGACGGCCCAATGGGGGGCGGCGGCAAGGGGCTTATAGGGAGGGGAAGATCACTTCAAGGGAAAAAGAATATAAATTTGAAGAGTTAGGGATTTACTCACCTCAAGTACTTCCACCCCAAATCTCACAAAGAAATATTGGGAAAACTTAGAACTCACAAAGAGATCTTTCTCCTCTCATGAACTCACTAAGATATCACCAAGTAGAATAAACTTTTCATTCAATAATTCATCAAAAAACATACATTGCATGAGGCCTACTTTAAATAGGCCAAGATAAGATAAAAAAATGAAAATGACACAAATGCCCTTAGGGCTACATAATACATAAGTGACTCAATGCCCATAGGGGCAAACTAGGAAAAATAAAAATACAAGCATAAATAAAATACAAGTAAATCAGAAATAAAGGATCTGGATCGTAGCCGTTGATCTGCGTCTTCGGCGATGGTACACGTGTCGAAATCTGATGTCCTCATCATCTTTGGACTTAATATATTGAATGTATCCAAATTATCATCTTAAAGACTGATGCAATCAAAAATTTGGGAGAGGGCCCCAAATTTTTGATCACAAAAACAAACTCTTCCTATAACTTAGAGACTAAAATTTAACATAGGATAAGGCGACGACACTTGCACAAAACAAAATACAACTTTAATATTATAAAAGGACTTACAAACAAAAATTCTTACAAATGACACTTACAATTTGGACGCTTACAAACTTTGACACAAACAAAATGACACCCTAAACTTGCTTACTTTGAGAAGAAGGATACAATGGAATGGTTACTATGGAGAGAAGAAAGAGATTAGAAGCCAAGAAGAAGGGTGGAAAGAGCCCGCAGGATTTCCATAGAAGAAGAAGAAGAAATGGAACAAAGCTCTCAAGCTTTTTCCAATGAAAAAACCTTTCAGGTTTTGTCTCCAAAAATCACATCATAAACTCTACTTTTTATAACACAAAACATCTACTATATATAGGCATAAGAGGGGAACTAAACAACCAATAAAATCCAGCACAGGAAACAGGACAGCATTTTGGATTCCAGCACAGAAAAAGACAACAGCAGCTGGAGTAATAAAAGCCACGGTAATCAGCAACAGAGAATTCCAAACGGTAGAGCCAATATCAAGAAAAAGCCACGGTATACCAAGGCATCATTTAAAAGGGAATAAAGGCCACGGCAATCCAGCAATCAATTGAAGGAAAAAGGCAGCAGCTCAAGAGTTAAAGAAGAAGAGGAAGAGACAAGTTCAAGAAACAATGAGCTAATTCTTTAGTTCCATAAATGAACTAAAAAAATAGCTCATAATGAGCTAACTTTTAGCTCAAAATATTAATGAGCTAGCAAGCCCAAAAGAAGTCAAAACCAAAATATTCATTTTGTTTTGACCCCCCTCTTTGCATGCATCAAAGACCTTCTGCATGCTCTGTTTTGGTTTTCCAGGGTTGTGGGTGTAGCCCCTCTTCTTCCTGGTGTTTTAGAAGGCTATGTGAGACGAGCGATTACTTTGTTCCTTGACAATTTTACGTTTCTTCATCTCCTCTTCCCCAACAGCCGGTCATCCTTGTTCTTTTCTCTTAACTGCTGCTTAACTCTATCATTTGCAACCCTCTAAACTCGTTATTTTGATTTTTGATTGATGGATAGGGGATTCAAAGAAGAGATGCAACTTATAGTATTGTAAAATTAAATTATTTATATATTACCAAACATTACAAATGCTTTGGCCCTTGTTTTGCACACCTCTTATAGTTTTAAGCCATTTGCACATAAAACGTAAAGCTCTTATCCACCAAAGCAAGATAATATTTTTATAAACAAGATTGGAAAATTTGATGTGTCAACGTCTTAATAATTTAATTTTAGCCTTATGCACAATCCTTTAGCCAATTTATATAGATCCACGGCTCAGATTTGCTGTACAATTGAGCCCCTCTTTAGTACTCTTTCACCTTGATATCATAGGATTCTTGTCATGTGCACAATTTTATTAATTCTGTTGGTTTATTATCATGTTGGCGCCTATGGAACAGCTTGCTGTTTGCTTAAATCTTCTATTCTTTTATTGTGATTCAACGCCTTTAGGACAATGAGCCCACTTTTAGACAGAGGACCAAAAAGAGTGATGCGCAAGAAATGCGAAGTTTCTACCAGCATTACTACAGAAAATATATCGAGGCTCTCCAAAATGTTGCTGACAAGGCTGATCGGTGAGTTAGATATAGTCATTCTTATCAAGTATTTTAATGTCATGGACTCATTATTATTGCCCTTTTTTATTCTCTTCTATGCTAATGTTTTGCTCCTTTTAGTGCTCGACTTACCAAAGCTTACCAAACAGCTGCTGTTTTGTTTGAGGTTTTAAAAGCTGTTAATCTGACTCAATCTCTTGAAGTGGATAAAGAGGCAAGTTTGTATTTCTGCTTGATAGTTTATCATTATATATATATATATATATATATATATTATATATATATATATATATATTTAACACTATCCTAGCACTCCACTTTTAAGCTGTGAGACAAAAATGTTATAAAAGAAAGCTTCCAACAACTTCTTGTGTTGATTATTTATTATGTGATGCTTTTGTTCAGATATTGGAAACTCATAATAAAGTTGAAGAAAAGAAAAAGATATATGCACCTTACAATGTTCTTCCGCTTGATCCTGATAGTGCAAATCAGGCTATAATGCGGTATCCAGAGGTTTTTCTCGTAACTCTTGTTTTAGGCAATGCTTTCAACTAGAGGAAAGTTTTACAGAAATCTCCTGACATTATGATTCTGCAGATTCAAGCTGCAGTAATTGCTCTTCGGAATACTAGGGGTTTACCATGGCCCAAAGATCATGAGAAGAAGTTAGATGAAGACCTTCTTGACTGGCTTCAGGCAATGTTTGGTTTTCAGGTGAATCCTCTTTAGTTGCTGCTTTTTTTTGTCAACAAGTTACTTTTTCTGCATATTATTTCCACTTAATTTTGAACTTCTTTTTAAGTTATTTCATGCAAATGCATTTCATATTTTGAATTGTTTGAGTACGCAGAAGGATAATGTGGCTAATCAAAGAGAACATTTGATATTATTACTAGCAAATGTCCACATCCGACAGGCTCCAAAGCCTGATCAACAAGCAAAGGTTTTACTTCTTTTTTACTGCGCTTAAACAACAATGTGAGTGCTGTGCTATTTTGCTCTTTGGTGAGCCTTAATACTAATTGCTAATCTATATCTCAGTTGGATGATCGTGCCTTAAATTTGGTCATGAAGAAACTATTTAGGAATTACAAGAAGTGGTGCAAATACTTGGATCGAAAGAGTAGCCTCTGGTGAGAATTCAAAAGCTACTTTAACCGACCATTTTACGTATGAAATACATTTAGGCTTGACGTTTCTTCTTGGTTTCTATTTTTAAAGATTCGACTTTTACTTCATTAATATTTGATCCATATCTTTTTTTTTTGATTTTCTCATATCTTATTATCGTGATATTAAAATTTCAGGCTGCCAACCATTCAGCAGGAAGTACAACAGAGAAAATTGCTTTACATGGGCCTGTATCTTCTAATTTGGGGTGAAGCTGCAAATCTGCGTTTTATGCCGGAATGCTTGTGCTATATCTATCATCATGTGAGTTTCCTGCATAAAATTTGGTTCATTTCATCCCCAGATGCTATAATCCTTTGCCTTGGGCAAATGAACAAAAGGAAAAAAGGAAATAAAATAAGTACCTAATTGGTTTTGGTTGTTTTTTATCTGAACTACATATACTAATCTTTCTGCTATTATCATGGCCTTTTATTTACTGGATCTTGCAATAATAATCTTATTTATTTATCCACAACTGATAAAAATGCATAATTAGAATTACTCATCGCACAAAAGCAAAAAAAAATTGTTTGGTATCTAATTGATGACAATAGTTTTTTCAGTGTATGATTCTATCTGGAATACGCTTTAAAATTGAGCAGGCAATTCATATTTCGCGTCTGTCCTCAAATTTAGCTTCCTTTTTTCTACAAATCATATATAACCCTGCTATTAAGGTCCTGTTGAGCTTTTTTCTGCTTCCATGAAACCTAACATGAGCTAGAAGGTCTTACTGACCATCATTAGTTAATATTCCCATTGAAGGACTTAATTGCACTATGAGCAAGATGGCTATCTTTCACTGGGAGGGGAAACATGGGATGAGGCTTTTATTGATTATTGGTGAGCTTCAAATTATTTTTGGCATTACAGGTCTGAACTGTTGTTCCGTGACATTTTGCTACTATTGATTTAACTGCATTTCATGTGATTTACAACCTCAAATTGGTGTGCGAAATGTTGAATATTGGATGTAAGTTCGGGAAGAAGAGAGGAAAAGGAAGGCATGTTGTCTATCATAGTTCTCTGAAGCACTCAAATGAAGAAGTATCATGCAGCCCTAAGATGACTGGTCAAATATTAGGGCATCGGGTTGAATTCCAAAATCATTCGTCCACAATTGAAAGTAAACCCTAAGGAGTCCTTACAAGAGGAAGTCTCATCAAGTAATGGAAACAAATTCCCCTCAGAAGAAAATAGATGAAGAAGCTAAAATAAATACATCTCAATTCCTACATAACATTGCATGGGGCATTACACCCTTTAAACTCAGCATGGAGGGCGCGTAAATAGTAAAATAAAACATAAAAACAATGAAAAATTGCCGTACATGGATGTGAAAATGAGTTGAAATTTTGCAACTTCTCTAGATTGTTGCCATTTATTTCCTGGGTTTCAAAGCACTCTAGTGTGGAGAGTGAAGGTGACAATACACTACTTACTGACGTAGAAGTAGGTAGCTTGATTTGCGGACTATGGGTCATCAAACGACAGATGGTGCATCCAATGAGGAAGTTGCTATAAGTTCCTATAGTCAACTTGAACTCACCTGATGTTGAAAAAGTAAGATACGGTGGAACTGGCATTTTAGGTACTACATCTATAGAAACACTAATAATACAAAGTATGGGGTTTGGAAGGTTCTAGACAACCAAAGAGGAGGGTGACTGGGTGAGTCTAGGAAGGACTAGAAAGGAAGGGAGGGCATTTTCCTTTAGCAGTCAGCAGCTTGAGTGAGTTTCAATCAGCTGTGTTGGAAAAAAGTAATTAACTTGGTAGAGAATTAAGGGAAGTGTACATGGCCCTGAAAGGATACGGGGACTGGTGGGAAATTGCTTATGTGTATGGGGTATACTCAAATTAAATTCGGAACCATATGAACTCCAATTTCAGCAAACTTATAGTCGAACTAAACGTCTCGAAATGACAAATCCAACGATACCAAATTCGACACAATCGTAGCCCAAATGGTACCAAATCAAAGACCCGAAGTGCATTTGGAAGGTTCAAACTATAAATTAGATGGCCAAACGGTTTCAAAATGTGAAATGCTTATAGTTGAATCAAGCGACTCGACGAGACGAATCCAACGAGCCTAAGATCGCCAAATTCTACTATCATTAAGACATTTAAATGCCCAATAAACAATTCATAATCAAGGGAATCAATATTGGCCGTTCATTCAAACCACTCTCAACTTACCCTTGATCTTCCTCCTATTTACTGGCCATGCCACTCTCAGAAACTATAAATATACTCATCATTTCTTATGGAGGGGGACCTAAGCATGGAAGCAAGGACGAGAAGGAAGAAAAGAAATTAGAGTTCTCTTACCACCAGACTCCTTGACCACCGCTGAACTTCTGCCTGGCCATCGACTGATGCTGGACTTCCACCCGTCCATCGACTGATGCTGGACTTCCACCCATCCACCGACTGATGCTGGACTTCCGCCCGTCCACCGACTGATGCCGGACTTCCGCTTGGCCACCAACTAACGTCGGACTTCCACCCGACTTCTAATTCTTGTTGGACTTCCACCCGGCAACGGTCTTTCTGACCTTCGTCGCCCACCGACTATGATCCTTTCGACCTCCATCGCCAGATTATAGTCCTTCCAACCTCCGTCACTAGACAACGGTCTTTCTAACCATTGTTGCCCGTCGACTACGATTCTTTCAACCTTCGTTGCCAGATTACAGTCCTTTTCGACCTCCGTCGCCAGACAATTGGTTTGTTGGCCACTGTTGCCTGCCGACTACAGTCCTTTTGATCTCTGTTTTCATATTACAGTCCTTCTAAACCTCAGTCAATAGACAACAGTCTTTTTGACCACTGTCGCTCGTCGACTACAATCCTTTCGACCTCTGTCATCAGATTATAGTCATTTGAACCTCCGTCGCCAGACAATGATCTTTCTAACCACTGTCGCCCGCCGATCACGGTCCTTTCGACTTCGTCGCCGGACTATGGTCCTTCCGACCTCTGTAACCAGAAAACGGTATTTCTAACCACTGTTGCGCGTCGACTATGGTTCTTTCGATCTCCATCGCCAAATTACGGTGTCCTTATGACATCCGTCACCAGACAATGGTCTTTTTGATGGTCCTTCTGACCTTCGTCGCTCGACTATTGTTCTTCCAACATCTGTCGCCAGACAACGGTCTTTCTGACCTCCATCACCCGCCGACTACGGTCCTTTCGACCACCGTCACCTGACTACGGTCTTTACGACCTCCGTCGCCCGCCGACTATGGTCCTTCCGTCCAAACAAACACGTCAATAATGAATCTTTCAATTCCCACCATGTAATGCACTTTATATAATATATATTTGTTGCATCAAGTCAATGCCTTCCCCCTAAGGAAATGCCTCATTTGTAATCAACTGCAAATACCAGTGGATTCATTCTAACTGGGTCAGGTCCTGTGTTTTTTTCTCTTTTTAGGGTTTTCCACGTAAAAAATCTTGGTGTCTCTTATAAATGTTGCACTCTTTCTTTTATCTGATTGTGTGCTGGATCTTTGTATAAAATTAAGATGTTAAACTTTATATTTCTCTATAATCATGAATATTCCAGGATGCAATAAGTGTGATTATAATAGTTGTCAAAACATATTTAGTTATGGGCATAATCAAACCACCTGAATACCATCTCATCATCATGGATCATGGTATAAAGTGACAAATTTTGCATTGCAACCTAAATAACTGTACATTTCATCTCAATATTCCAAGTAATGGTAGCATGTCTTAAATCTAATTCACTGCGAGCCATTAGCTCCCCATCGCCACAACATGACATATTTCTTATGTTTGCTTGCATGTGGTGGAAATGTACCTAACTCCGTATCCTCTATCAGCACAATTTGGTGCAACTCATCTGCTTCTATTATCTGTGGTGGAAATGTTGAAGTCATAAATGAGTCGGTAACTTTGCGTTTTTAACTAGTCACAATAGGGCTCCATCTAGCAACATGCACATGCAATTATTCATGTATATATTTTTATTGGCATCTATCAATTGATGTAGTGTCTTTATTCGTAGGAGCTTTTGGCATGATATTACATTTTGTAATCATAACAATAACTTATAATTTGAAATTCTGAACTGAGCATGCTATTTTAAATCAAAGACAGCATTAGTCTGACGTTTGTAAACATGACATTTAGAATCATGAATTGTAATTCAAAGGCAAGGTAAAGCACATCCACTTTTTATTTATTTATTTATTTTTATTTTTTAAAGGTAGGGCACATCCACTTGATGTCATCAATGGTAGCAGGATACATGAATTGCAAAACACTATTTCCTTTTACTATCTCTTTTTCTCGTGTCTGAAATCAGTTAATGTGTCATTGATTGTAGCAAGTGGAAGAGGAAAAGGGAGAACAAGAGAGAAACACAAGAGAGGTTGAGATACATGTCAATAGTGGGGTCTTGAGTAGATCAATATTTTTTTTAATCAATCAATAATCTCAACCTCAGAGATAGGATACGAAATGAGCATATACGTGGAAAGGTTGGAGTAGCTCCAGTAGAAGATAAGATTAGAGAGAGTCGCCTTAGATGGTTTGGTGACATAAAACGGCGGCTTTCCGATGACCCGGTTAGGAGAGTAGAGGTATTAGATATGACTTATGTTAAGAAAGGTAGGGGTAGACCTAAAAAGACTTGGTTAGAAAATTTTCGGAATGACCTTTCTTTATTAGATTTAAACAAGAATTTGACTTTTAATAGGACACAATGGAGAAAAAGGATTCATGTAGCCGACCCCACGTAGTGGGATAAAGGCTTGATGATATTGTTGTTGTTGAAATCAATAATCTCAACCTAGTCTTAGGGGTCCTACTTATTATCAGAAGATTTGTAGGTTCACAAAAATCTAATATGATTAGTTAAATATAAGGAATTGAATCCTAGTGAAATTAATGAAAATCAAAGCATAAAATAAACCTTAATGAAACAAGCAAGTGTTAGCTAAATACATCCTTAAATAAAGCATGAAGGTATTTTATCAAAAAATGTGTTGATGTAAGTTCAAATACCATGACCATCATCAGAAAGAATCTCTACTGCAGAAGAATTTGCTTTTATGATGTTCCACTAATCTAGGGTTGTCAATTCGGATCAACGGGGTCGGATTTGGGTCCAACCCGAGTTGACCCGGGCATAAACGAGTTGACTCAAACCCGACCCGTTTAGCTAGACAGATCAGGATATACAACCCGGATCCACCCGCACGGATTACCGGTTTGACCCGACCCTACCCGCGAACCCGAACCGGACTTAATGGGAATATATAAAACGTCCTAATTTTGGTGATGCATGTTTGCTCAAGCTATTTTCATGTATTAGAAACAAGTGGATGATGTTTCTCAAAATTTTTTCCTTGATCCAATAACTTGAATTCTTGAAAAAATTCTTTTTTTTTTCATAATTTTTAGATTAAAAAAAATTGTTATAGAGCTATGTTCTGGTTTGCAGACTATGCTTTTGTATCATGCACAACATAAGCTATACGGTTTGCTAAACATAGCGGGTATCAAATGGTTAGGATAAGGCCAATGATTAGATGATAGTGATTATACACCGGGAAAAGTTATTTCCTTGTAAAGATGAGCATTCTAAATATTTTTCCTATTCTCCTTTTGTATTTTCAACAATAGAGTAATTGAAATGGAATATACTGGAAGACCTTGACCAGTTATCTTCTTGTTCCAGTTGCATTTGGTTCACGTGTTAAGCATTAGTGTACGCTATATGATATTGATCTTATGCTTTAGTGTTGGCATTGCTATGCATTTTTTGACTCTCTGCTTTTAGGATGTTATGTTTCTCTAACTGTTGTTTTTTTTCCTTTGTTACCAGATGGCTTTTGAACTTTATAGCATGCTAGCTGGCAATGTGAGCCCCATGACAGGTGAAAACGTAAAGCCGGCTTATGGGGGTGATGAAGAAGCCTTCCTCAGAAAAGTTGTAACTCCTATTTATAAAACAATAGCCGAGGTTGTAAAACAATATTGTTCTTACCCCATGCATCCCCTTCCTCTTTTAGTTAATTTGTCTCATTTTGCTGTTTTAACACTCATGTTCATTGCAGGAAGCCAAGAGAAGCAAAACAGAAAAATCGAAACATTCTCAATGGAGAAATTATGATGATTTAAATGAATACTTTTGGTACTTGTAACAAGGAGTTTTTAATTTGTATTCTCTGACTGAATGTTTTCCTGCACTTCAGTTGACTATTATCTTAATGATATGCAGGTCAGTTGACTGTTTTCGTCTGGGTTGGCCAATGAGAGCAGATGCAGATTTCTTTTGTCAACCTCACAAATATCCATCTGAAAAAAATGGAGTAAGCTTCCTCCTATCTACTTCTATTAAATATTTCAGGTTTGTGCACACATATAGACGTGTGAGTGTGAGTTGAAAATATGAATGAGCAATATCATTTCTAATTCATATTTTATTTTACTAAGAACTGTAGATATTCTTAGTATATTTTGATTTTTTGTTGCTCAGGAGAACGTAAACACTGCTAGGCACAGATGGATTGGGAAAAGTAATTTTGTTGAGATACGCTCATTTTGGCATATATTTAGAAGTTTTGATAGACTGTGGGCTTTCTTCATTCTGGCATTGCAGGTGATTTACTACATTTATTTTTACTGAAATATAAATCTTGTAGTTTATAATTTTATTCAGCTTTTCAACTTTCTCTGCAGGTCATGATTATCCTTGCATGGAATGGAGGCTCACCAAGTGATATCTTTGATAATGGGGTCTTTAAGCAAGTATTGAGCATTTTCATTACTGCTGCTGTATTGAAGTTAGGACAAGGTAAATGAAGCAATATCTTTGTTTGACAGTGGACTTTTGTACATAAGGATTAAGACTGCATATAGAACCAAAGAGTAATAAATGAGGAAAAAAGATTTATGCAGCCAAAGTAATGAAGCCTTGCCGACGAATGACAATATATGCTAATAATTGGGAATTGGTTTATTAGTTATTTTTTAGCTCAGTATTGCCTCGTTTTTTTTTATTTTTTTCTATTTTCTGTTACCAAAAAAATTAGAAATGTTTTTTTTGGCTTGTTATTTCTTTATGTAAAGTGTTTTGGATGGATAAGAAATGGTTCTGATTGTCATTCGTTATTTACAATTCATATTAATTCAATTGACAAAATTGTACAAGTTGTTGAAACCTAGCAATGGTTCTGATTGTCATTCGTTATTTATAGTTCATATTTATTCAATTGACAAATTTGTACAAGTCTGAGACACCCCATGAAAATAGATGCTGTCACGACCCGGCCCGGTGAGCTCGCATAGGCGAGGCGGGAACGGAGGTCGTACAGTAGACTAAAATATATAATTCATAAAACTATCACCTTAACATTTGAAAGAGCCTCTAAAACATCAAATTTGAAATTACATAAACATAAAATTAGTAATATTCATAAAGTTACATTTTCTCAGACGCTCCTCTTCCACGGTATACATTTTCGCCCATTCTACTCATTTTGATTTAAAGTAATTACACCTGAAAAATGTTAACAACTAACATTAAGCCAAAGCTCACTAAGTAAAACACGATTCTTAACTATAGTAATCAAGGAAAAATGAACAATATGCTATATGTCAATTTCCTTTAAAATATAACATAAATTCATTTTTTACAAACATGCTATTAAATATATCATATCATAAAACTATATTTTTCATTTTCATTTTCATTTTCATATTCATATTCATTATTCATAATTTTCTCATTTCGTATATATTTTACAACCGTCACAGGAGCCACCGTCTAGTACCATAAAGGTACTCATTTACCATTTTCTTTTTCATATCATTTACCATTTTAACGTGCACGAGTACAACGTCCCCAGCTAGTATCATAAGGGGGTGAGTTCCATGTATTCAGCATGCACATACAATCACTCAATATAACAATCATATCATATTCATATCATCTCATTTATCAATAATATTAAGCCTTATCATATACCTTATACAGTAATATAGTGAATCAATTAATATGTAAAATATGAAACAATGGAATCAATTGAAATGCAGTAAAATAAACCAATTTGCAATAACAATTCAATAAAAAACTGAAACGATGCAATTACCATAATAAAGAAACATGTTTACTCACCTGAATGTTTCCAAGCTTTAATATTTTTCCATACCTCAAGCTTCGTTGTAGATCCCAATACTCGTCTCAGCTTTATTATCAGAAATCTTCAACTGTTCAAATAATATTAATAAGATCTTAAACCTTCAACTTAGAGTTCTCAATCCTAAAACAATATCAATGATTCATATTCTTTTTATTATGTTCTAATCTACTCCCAACATTTCTAAAGGTTCTCTTTCTCTCCCTCTCATTTAAAACATAAAGTATATATTTTAAAAATTCATTTGTTATTGAAGTAATCCCTTTACCATTACTTAAAATAATTCAAAATAATTTCTATTTTCGGATTTAATCTAAAATCCTAAATTTGGAAAACTTATTTTCATTAAAATGCTTACTTTTTGCATGCTAAAGCTTCCCATTCATCAAAATAATATTTATGAAAAACTAATTTTCGGATTTAAATTAATTAGAAATTAAAAAAATACCATTTTGTGAGAAAAACTCAATTTCTTCTCTTAAAATCTCTCTTAGGACCCTTAGGAACCACATTTGCAAAAGCACTTTCAAAAATTTCAACTTTAGAGAAAAACCCTAATTTTTTCAACTCAATACTTTTAAAGAAAAACTTAGTTTTCATGCATAAAAAATATCTCCTAAACCTTCCCTAGCATTCCTCCTAAGTTCCTCTAAGAATTTCTAAGTTTCTTCACAAACCCTAAAATTTTCTCCTCCAAAAATCTAAAAGGAAAAGAAGATTTATAGGTTTAGGAACGCACATTAGACTTCTCTTGACTTCCCTCTTCGTTTTCTCTCAAAAAGCATTGTCGGAAACTATCGCTCGAAGCCTCCCCGCCGCCTTGCCTATCCGCCTTCTCTCCTTTTCGCATGCTCCTTCGGTTCAGCCGAAGAAAACATGCGAATGGGGTGAAGAGGGATCGACCTCTTCATATCTTAGGGAGTTAGGGAAAAGTCCAATTACCCAATTGCCCTCACTTAAAACATTCAAGCTTGAATAAACACTAGGGGTATAATAGGTATTATGAGATTTCTATAAATTTTAATTCCAAAATTAAGCGAATTTCAATATATATTCTTTATATCAAATTGTTCAAAATTTTGCGTAGAATTTTATAAAATTTATTTTGTCAAAATCCGACAACTCTAAATTTTTCACTTAAAACTCACCGTGACGCATCGAAAAGCGTGCGAGGTCTAAAATGACATTTTTTCGGGTTTTATAATTCTCCCGTCTTAATAAAAATTTCGTCATTGAAATTTACATACAACATTTAGTTACAATTCAATCAACATCTTCCAATTTAATCAATATAAACTTTAACATTGTAACGGAATAAACTAAACATCTGAAATATCATAACAAAATAATTTGATCAATCCCAAAACATCTGACATGACATAACAAGGTAAACTTCAACGGTGTGCACCGTCTGCCTCGTCCGCCTCGTCCCTTATACTGGCGATGCGTTCTTGGCCTTAACTAGCCGGGTCGTGCCTCCAGCGCCGTTACTTTGAAGAAATTAGAGTGCTTAAAGCAAGCCCACGCTTTGGATATATTAGCATTGGATAACACCACAGAATTTCGGTCTTATTATGTTGGCCTTCGGGATCGGAGTAATGATTAAGAGGGACGGTCGGGGGCATTCATATTTCATAGTCAGAGGTGAAATTCTTATATTTATGAAAAACGAATCACTGCGAAGGCATTTTCCAAGGATGTTTTCATTAATCAAGCCAAAACATCAAATTTAACATTTCAAGTCACTAAAAATAAACTATAAAGCCTTCTCAATTGTCATTGTTAGCATCTACAAATTCATTGGGCTCTTGCCGAGTCAAAGTGTAAACTCGCGGTCTGACATTCTGCCTAGATTGATTTTGCACTGAACCTGCAGCTGATGGTTTTATCATCTTGGGTTTTTCATAATTCCTCTGTGAAGATGTTTCATTTGATCTCATTTCTCCTGAAGTCTTCTGAATCAATGCAGGATAATATTTTGCTATGTCTCCAAACTGATGACACCAATATCACTATAGCAGGTGTTGGAACCAATCAAACATTCACCCTTATGTAATCTGCCACACTTAGCAAAAGGTTCCGTGACTTTACTTATAGTTGCACCACTGACTCCGCCAGGACTAAACTTGGGATTCTTCCCATTTGATCCCTCAGTCTACTTGCTTTGAATATCCTCTTTAAAACTCTTCATTTTATGTTGTTCCATTCTCCTCTGAGTAGCTTGCAAATCTGATTCAATCCTTCGAGCCCTCTCTATCAGAATTGAATAATCCTTAATGCCAAAAGGATTCAAGGGTTGTCTAATGATATCCTTCAAACTAGATAAGAAACGATGGCACTTCTCTTCCACATTGGGTATCATATGTGAAGCATACCTAGAAAGTCTAGTGAATTCGGCCTTGTACTGAGTAATAGTTCTATCACCTTGCAGGCTTGCACCAATGTATTGAATTTATCTTGCATATGTCTTCTAGCAGACATCAGTACATAGCAGTCTCTAAATATTTTCACAAACTCCTCCCAAGTAACTTTTTTTGCTTGGTCTTCCTCCAAAGGTTGCTTGCAATTGACTTCTCCACCACCTCCCTGCTTTATCATTGAAAGCATAAGCAGCTAAGGTAACCCTTCTATCTTGAGAGCATGACATTCCTTCCAAGATCATCTCTATCCTCATTAACCAGTCTTCCGCTTGTGTGGGTCCACCACCTATGAATGATGGATGCTTCATGTCTTGGAATAACTTCATGTTTTTGTCTATTGGAGTGCTTCCACTGCCTCCAGCTTGGGTTTGAGTACTCTTTATCATTCGGGTCATAGATGCCATCATCTGCGTAAAAGATTCCATAGTAGCATTGATACTACTACTCGAAGGTTCTGCTACAATTGGTATCTCCCACCTAGTATCTCTCGTAGTGTCATCAGTGGTATCATTTTCAGGATCCATGGCTCTGAGATATAACCGATGAAGTAAAATTAGCAGTTTATAACACACATACCCTATACCTTCTCTAACCTATAGAATCATCATATTGACTCTTTCATATTGATCAATATTCTTAAACCCTTTGCTCTGATACCACTTTTGTCACGACCTCCGTTCCCGCCTCGCCTATGTGAGCTCACCGGGTCGGGTTGTTACCGATGCTTTGGTTTATCTGTTAAGGGAGGGAGCATTTTTTTCCCCTTTTTTGTGTGCGGATATACGTATTTTAGATGCAAAATCATGATGTGTAGGGTCACTTGCATTTGGAGTTGGTATTGATGCATATTTATTTTGATCTTATGTAAGATCTCCCTATTGTTTGATGCTGGGATTTACTATCTTTCATGTTTTTGGAACAATAATGTATGTTGTTGATGTTGCTAATATTTATTTTGTTTCTCGATTTTTGCTCTGCTTGTATTTAAAACTACTGAATGATAAGGACATTTAGATATTAGTCTTATATCGTTCTTCTTTTGTAGCTATCCTGGATATCATTCTTAGCTGGAAAGCTAGAAGAAGCATGTCTTCTGCAGTTAAACTGAGATATATCTTGAAAGTTGTTTCATCTGTAGCATGGGTGGTAATATTACCTGTCACGTATGCTTACACCTGGGAAAATCCTACTGGACTGGCAAAAACTATCAAAAGCTGGCTTGGGAATGGTCAAAACCAACCATCTCTTTATATTTTGGCAGTGGTGATATATCTGTCTCCAAACATGCTTTCGGCTTTGCTGTTTCTTTTTCCATTTGTCCGTAGGTTTCTTGAAGGTTCACACTACAAGATAGTGATGCTTATGATGTGGTGGTCTCAGGTACTGGAAGCTTCTTGATTATCATTGGTTATGCAACCTTCTTGTTTTGTGTTCATAAATGGGACTATAGTTTTTGCTATAGTTCATTTTCATTCTGTGGAGACTTTTTTTATTTCTTTATTGTGTGAAAAAACTCCGTTAACGCTTAGTATTTTTATGCTTGCAGCCTTGTCTCTTCATAGGCAGGGGAATGCATGAAAGCGCTTTCTCACTTTTCATGTAAGAAAATGACATTTTGGTCATATATTTTGCAAGTTTGCTGTGATAGGCTACAGTTTCATATCTATAACTAATTTTCTTACACACAGGTATACAATGTTTTGGGTGATTCTTATAGTGACGAAGCTGATATTTAGTTACTATATTGAGGTAAATTAAAATTTTCTCTTCATATAGGAAGCTTACATTTAATTTAGCAATACTTGCAATGACTTAATTGTTTCTGTGGGTTTAAAATGAAGTTGATCTTATTGTTAATGCGGCATTTGCTCCCGTCTTACATTTATCTTCCAGTTTGTTGCACGCTACTACATTTGCTACAAGTGTCAAATCTTCTCTCTTATTAAGCTGTTTTCTTGCTTTGAAATGCTGAAGTTCGGTTAGTGGTGTACACATGTAAAACATCAAGCTCTTGGATTGATGTTTAGATGCTGGAAAGAAATATGGCTTTATGTATTGCATAACTCATTCCAGGAAAGTGATGGACCGGCTGAGCTTATGGGACATTGGGACCCACTAGTGTGGGTGGCGGGCAAGGAGAGAGAGGGTCTCAAAGGAGGTTAATTCTTCCTTTAATTACTTACCATAGAAAACTAAAATTGGGAGGAAATTAGGAAGGTTTATTTAGAGAAAGAGGGCTGATTTGAATTCAAATTTGTGAGGGAATTATGAAGGTTTATTTAGGAAAAGAGGGATGATTTGAATTCAGATTTGGGAGGGAATTATGAAGTTTTTTTTAGGTTAATTAGGTTTCATTTTCATTATGTGAATTGTGTTTTGCTGTAGTTTTCGTTGGAGTTGTTTCTAGCGGTGCTTGGGGTTTGTAGAGAGTTGATTTGCCTCTCAAATAGTATATCAACTTGTATCTTGATTTGGTTGTATTGATATCTCGTTCTTTTCGCTAATTTCTGCTACATTTTCTCTTCGTTATTGCTGTTTTTGCTTTGTGGAGATAGAATTCCTACCAAATTGGTATCAAAGCACCTTTTTTTTTACATGTGGTGGCTAAGAAGGTTGATGTGTTGGAGGAGAGGCTTGATATGGAAATTGAAAATCTGAAATTTGAATTTGGGGAGCAAATTTCAGTAATTGAGTGCAGATTTTCAAATCTGGAAGATAAGGTGAAAAAGATGTTAGAGTTTCAATCAAAGATGACATCATCAAAGGCAAGGGCACCATTGACTGGACAAGTAAGCGGGGGAAATCCTAATATAGGGACGATGAGGTAGGATTAGGGGGGAAGAAGAAGAAGAAGAAGAAGAAGAAGAAGAAGAAGAAGAAGAAAAGGAGATGATGCCACCTTTGAAGCCACTTCCAAGGAGAGGAATAGGTGAAGGTTATGGTTGGCGAAGAAATTGGGATTGATGAAGATCAGAGATCTAATTTGGGGGAGAGGGAAACATAGAGGGATCATAACACCTGCTTGATGCAGGACTACTTAGATGACATGCTCATGGATTCATGTGGGCATTGCACAACTAGTAGATTAGAACAATTTCGAAACAAAATTACAAGCAATTTTCAAACGGCGATTAAAACAAATGAGTGGATCAATTGTGTAGGGTTAAATCACATGCTTCGAGTTTGAGCTATCAAAATAATTGAGAAAATAAAAGCAATACAGAATAGTAGTTTTCAAGTTAATCCCTAATCTAACAATGAGACATAGGATGCATAGAAGATTACACTCAATTCCTACAAAGGACTAGGTTTGGCACGAGCAAGTAAAAGAGCTTTCGTGATTACAACCAACCAATTGAGAATTTGGAGTTAGAAGAAATTGGGTACAAGTGGAAAGGAGAAAACCTTTGTTTAAGGAGACGTAGAGATCCGTCACTTGATGCCGTCGAAGTACTCGTCAATGGATTCCATCATTCCTTGGTGATTGGAAGTAGAGTCTCCTTGGTCTTTGATCCGCCTCACAAGTGAGTACCAAGAGAAAGAAGTTTCTCCTTTGCTTAAGGAGACGTGGAGATCCTCCACTCGATGTCTTCAACGTCTTCGTCCAAGCAACTAAGATACGTCTCTTGAATAGTCACAACGTGAAAGATGTTTCCCTTGATAGGAGAGAGAATGCAAGCTCCGCACTTCGTCTTATAAAATCTGAGAAAACAATCTCAGATTTACTACAGGAAACCTGAGAGGAAACCTCAGGATTTGGTGGGCTGGGATGAGGAGGGCATGGAGAAGTCTAGCCGTGAAAAGGAGTAGGAGGCTGGGTGTGAGTTCCTTCAGATTTCCTTCACGGGCTATGGACTTGGGAGATCTTCTCAGGTATGCAGGCAAGAGGAGGGGCGGTGACGGGAGAGCAGTTCACGGGATGGGGTGGCTGTGGGCTTTTGTTTCCTAAATCCTGTTTATAGATTTAGGAAATAATTTAGAGCCAGGATATGCATGAGGTAATCGGCCCAGGTAGGAGTTACGGGAATTGAGAATATTTCCAAAACAAATGGCTTAGAGTTAGGAAACAATTAAATGGGTATTACTGAGATATTGAAGAGGGAGGCGGCGGCACTATCCAGAGGAAACAGGAAGAAATTTAGAGAGTTAATATAGCTTCCAAATTTGGAATTCTGAAATTAAAAGGCTGTAATCAACCACTCTCTCATTCAAAATTCAATGGAATTTCAGTAATGGACTTTCCTGAAATAGAGTTCATATATATTAGGAAATATTTTGAATTTCAAATATTTGAAATTTGAATTCAAATATATTCCAAAATATAATAAACCATAATAGGAAACAAATAAATTAAGGATGGAGGAGAGGTGGTAGCCGGCGGATTAGGGAAGAGGTGGCCGGCGACTAGGGAAGAGGTGGCCGGCGGTTTAGCAGGAGAGAAGGGGTTCGGGTGGGATGTTGGGCCGTGAGGTTCATGTGGGGAGGAGGGTCGGGTGAGGTGGAGGAAACCGGAGAGTAAGGGGTGGGGGAAAAGAGATAGGAGAAGAGTAAAGGGGATCAAGAAAGAACCACGAACTCGACTTATCTAAGTTGGTGGGTATTGCACTATCTCCTTCCTCTCCAAGGAAGCTCTCTCCACTAGAACTCACAAGTTCTCACAATGCTCCAAGCAAGAAAACAAAATTCTCAAATAATCATTCATTCCTTCCTTGAAAATAAAACAAAGGGGCTTTAAATAGCCTCATACAAGAGACTCTAACTGACATGACACAAATGCCCTTAGGCTTACACATGACCACTCCCATACAAAAGGGTACAAAGGGAAAATAAATAAACGCACATAAGCAAATAATAAAATGCATGAAAATAAAATACATCGACTAAAAAATATAACGAATCGATCGTGGCCGTAGATCGGCGGCCACGTCGCTGGTAACTTTCCATGATGATCTGATGTCCCCATCACTGCTACTCTGGAGGAGAAAGAAGTTATTGGGGCGGTGGTGATCCTAGGGTTAAAAAGTTGAATATGTCAATTTTTGAGAGAGAAGATGCTCACTTAGGCTCTATAGGACTAAGTTATAAGACTCGTTATATGGGTCACCTCTAATAGAGGCCGTAAGATCCACTATTAGAGCTACTTTCAAATGAAGTTGCTCCTTGAGGATAAAGTCATGTGGTTATCAAGTCAATTTGTACGCTTGTAGATTAATCAAAATTATAATAATTAATTCATAAATAGTATATCTAGTTCCGTAAACTCAGTAAATTTATACTAAAATATCATATGCTTTTCTTGAATGTTATTCTTATCTTTTGAAAGCATCTTACATTTAAAGCTGTTTTGTCCAATGTGCATTTCAGATCAGGCCTCTTGTCAATCCTACAAAAGATATTATGAGAAGCTCCATATCTACTTATGAATGGCATGAGTTCTTTCCCCATGGTAATATTTTGGTCAATCTTTTGAGTTATATCTTATGTCTAGTCAATGAATTTACTCCTTTGGGTTTCAGCAAAGAGTAACATTGGTGTTATAATCGCACTTTGGGCCCCAATTATTCTTGTAAGGTTTCTTAACATAGATTTGGATTACATGCTATTATTTCTAACTATTCTCACAAAATTTGTTTGATTTTTTCCAATACTGTTCAGGTATATTTCATGGATACACAGATATGGTATGCAATTTTCTCCACATTAGTTGGAGGAGTCTATGGTGCTTTTCGTCGTCTTGGAGAGGTCCGTGAAGTTTTATCTCATCTATTTGCCTTGTATTTTTCCAAAGAACGTCTTCTCTTCTATTTTTGCACGATTCTTCATAAATAAGGTTATATAGTGTGAGCATTCCGATTTTTCCTTTCTTTTAATATTATTATATTAATAGGCTTTTTAAGATTTTTTTTTATGGCATGTTCTTTTATTGAACACTGCTCTGTGAATTCCTAAATTGATGAGCACTACCGGCTATGCAAGATATGAAATGGATTTTATTTTGTTAAATAGACGACCTTTGTCATGTTACTGCTGGCTTTTCATGTTATTTGCCACGTGACATTATTCATGGGGTGATTATTCTATAAATATGCTTTTGTATGGCTCACAAAATTTGAACTTTATCTTTATCCTTTGTTGATTAACTGGGAGTAGTCATGTTAAATCGCTTGTCAAAATTTCTTTTTCTTGATATAGTTGTAGCTTTACATATCAGTTGAATGGTTTATAAGATTTTTGGTGGTTTTGTAATTTCTGTTCATGTGCTTCTTCCTTTCTTTAGTTATAATTGTAAAAAAATTAATCGTTGATGTGCTTACAAAAGATATTCAATATGGTGTACCTTGGTGCATGTTATTGGCAAATGAGTATTACAATTAAGTGAAAGATTATTACAATAGATGAACTTTTCAATAGAGCACTTAGCATTAGTGAATGAACTTATTTCATGGTATACAGTTTTAGAGAACATGAAATTTATAATTATATAACTCAATAATTCACCATGAACAAGCAATATGTAATGGTCATAAGTTTAATTACTCTGAATCTGTTATATAAAATAATGAAGATTCTTATGAGTACATCAACTATTAGAGTTGTACTTGTGTGGTAAAATGGTTGAATTGTCTCAACAGGGGCTATGCAATAAATGGATATCATGAGGTTTAATAAAATATTTTCTAGATTAATAATGCTTTTATGGATTTAAGTCTAGAAAACAATCAAGTCATTAATAATCAGGTTCAATGCAATAGAAACTAGAAAATTAAGATGAGCTTGTGGTAAAAGTTTTCTATATATGAGTGAGAAGACTGCCATAGATGGGAGTTGTTCCTATTTAAAAAGAGGTGGAAATGCATTTATGTGGTTTAGGCATGTAGAATGGAGGGTAGAGAATGCAAAATTACAAAGAATAAATAGAATGATTGTGGAAGGAAAAGATAAGAAATAGTTAATCACAAGAAACTGCATGGAAATTGCTTAAGAGATTATGTGTAAACTAAATATCCCATGGAGTACTTGACAAGAATAAATACATAAGAAGGATTTATAATCTTGACCCCAAAATAGTTGGATTCGGCCAATGATGAAGATGATGTATCCTTTTATTCTCTTTGAATGGGAAGCTAGTACTACCCAAAATTGCCAGTGCATATTGCACAATGCGATGTGCAAATTTTTTTTTTTTTGCTTTGAAGCGCGGTATTGAAATAGAGCATGCCTGTCAGTTAATTGGAACCTCACCTATCACAATAATCGATGTATAGTATGATACCATAAAGCATGCCTTCAGTTGGAGCCACACCTTTCACAAGAATGAATTTATAATATGATTCATAAAAATCAAGATAATGAAATGATATATGATATTTAAATCAAAATTTAACAAGGAAATCATTAATAACTATTAAACAATCTTGTACACATGCAATCTGATGAGGAACAAAACACTATATCAACCTATTGCTGGGTAGGTCTTCATTTGATTGGGAAGAAGGAGCTTTGCACATGCATTGAATCCTTTGCTAAGCGATGATAGAGAGTACTCTTCATTGTTTTGACTATGCTTTACAATATAGTCCTGTTTCTTGCAGAGTGATGCACAACTCATACTGCTCGGCATTGCACTTAAAGATCGTGCGTTTTAGCAACTAACTCTTCATGAAATTAGCTATTTAATAGTTTTGGTGTTTTGTAAAATTTCTAGAAGTTATGGGTGAATTTATACTTGATGCAGTAGTTGTTCTTCGAAAATCTATTTCCTCAGATGCTAGCATTGCATTTCTTATAATTTTACAACCTTGTTTAATACAGATACGAACTTTAGAAATGCTAAGGTCTAGATTTCAAACTTTGCCGGGTGCTTTCAATGCACATCTTATTCCATTTGAAAAATCTGAATCAACTGCAAAGAGGGGTTTAAAAGCTTCTTTGTCTCGGCTCTTTGAAAAGGTTTGAGATCCATACTTTTTATTGGAATTTGTGTTCATTACGCTCTTTTAAGCCTGATATAACTGTCTAAATGTCTTCTTCTTGATTGTTCTTTTTTTTTTTTTTAATTTTAATTTTTTCTTCTTGGTTGTTCTTCAAAAGTCAATATCTCCAGCATTAAGTTCTTTGAAATTGACGTAACTTATAATTTTAGAAGCCATCTAGTAATTTGGAGAAGGAAACTGCAAAGTTTGCTCAAATGTGGAACAAAATAATCACTAGTTTCCGTGATGAAGATCTCATTAACAACAGGTAGCTAAACAAACCTGAAGGAAGGAATTTTTTTTACTATAGATCATTTATTCATGGTATTGTACTAGTTTGCATTGGACAGCTTACACTTTCCATGGCATACAGGGAGATGAATTTATTGCTAGTTCCGTACTGGGCTGACCAAGACCTGAACCTTGTCCAGTGGCCTCCTTTCTTACTTGCTAGCAAGGTTTTCTTTTTTATTGTATTAGGACTTTTTGTAATGCTTCTTATTTAATTATCTCTCATTTTGTTTTCTAACATCTTTAAACCTAAGCAGATTCCAATTGCTTTGGATATGGCCAAAGATTCTAAAGGCAAAGATCGAGATTTGAAAAAAAGACTTCAAAATGATAGTTATATGGCTCATGCTGTGAAAGAATGTTATTTATCATTTAGGAATATTATTAACCACCTAGTGACTGGTGATCGTGAGAAGAAGTATGCTTATCGTAACAACTTTTTACTGTTTTTGCTTATTTGCATCGATTCTATGTTGCCCTTTTTTTAATCTCTACTTTATTGCCTCGTTTGATTAATTACCTTTTTTTTGTATGAAGTTTATAATTTGATGTGCTTTTCTTTTTGTCGTTCTCCATAATTTAGGATTATAAATGAGATCTTCGAGAAAGTTGATGAGTTGATAGTTGAAGACAAATTAATAACAGACTTGAGGATGAGCGCTCTTCCAGATCTCAACAATAAATTTATTAATTTGATAAAAGTTTTGGTAGTTGTTCTAACTTAGGAAACCCAAATTTTTTGTTACTAAAAGATTTCAAATTTAAATTTCCAAATAAGTGATAACTTTCTTGCTGCAGATGGACAACAAACAAGAGGACAGAGATCGAGTTGTACTTCTTTTCCAAGATATGCTGGAAGTTGTGACAAGAGACATAATGGAAGAACAGTTTTCTGAGTAAGTGACATATCAATTTGCTTACAAGTGCTAGAAGCTACTGGTTTTGCTCCATCTTGGTTAATATACTATGAGATAAGTTTTGCATTCTTGTTTAATGTTATACTCGAGCATGCTAATTCTGGGTCATATGCAAATCTAATTGTTTAAAGTAGATATTATTTTATTATAATCATTTACTTAAGTGGACATGGAAATTTATAAATTAGATGTAAGATCAATTCCTAACCCAAAATTTACTAATCATTGAGAAACATAAAGGCCGTGTAAATAATTTTTATATTGGTGTTGACATTTAATGTGTTGGCTTTATTTTTTCGGGTGCATTCAAAAGCGCTCTGTTTTTACAGCCGATATGCTATATTTATATTTCTAGGTGTGTGAAATTGCTGATCGTTATCGGTTTTGTTGTATATGGTAGTTTAGAATTGTCTTACTTATGATGGACATGGAGTAGTGGTTTTATTTTTTATTTTTTATTTTATTTTTTTGAGTAGTAGTTAGATTAGTCCGTTGTGATTGTAAAGTCCCAAGTTTAGTTTCAAAAGCTGTTGAAGAATGCAAGGATGATTGCCAGATAGTTGTAGGTTCCATAAGGCTGGTTGGCGGACAACGGCAACAGAGATTGACGTGATGGAAACCTCTGGAAAGGAAAGGCAATGTTCAATAAATTCCAGCAGTAAAGTAAAGACCAATCAGTTTCAAGAATAGGAAAGGAAATAGGCATCCCACAGCATCAAGACTATGTAGATTTGGGAGGAAGTATATTGATGGAAGCTTAGACAGAGATAAAGCTGTGTTAGTAGCAAAAGTGTACCCAATCCTATGGATTATACAACCTGGAAAAACATTTGCTCCAATAACAAAATTCATGATTTGATCTCTTTGACTACTAACTTTGGCTGACTCATGAAAGAATATAATGGCAAAAATGCCTTCTTATATTTTGGTTTGGAAGAAATTTACAACTGTCCCACAATGATTTAAGATTTTTTTAATCAGGCATGCAAACTTAAACAGGCATTATATTGGTTGAAACAATCTCTAGGAGCATAGTATGGAAGATTCATAAAAGTCATGTGTGGAATAAGATATAGACAAAGCCAATGAGACTATAAGACTATACACTCTTTATAAAACACTCAATTGAAGGGAGGGTGACAATTCTTATTGTATAGGCTATGATAATGAAGAAAAAAAATTACTTAGCGAAAAAATCACTGTAGAATTTGAGATCCAAGCACTCAACATGCGTAAATATTTTTTTAGCATTAAATTAGCTTAATCATAAGCTTATATATTTATCTCTCAATAAAATAATGTTATGGATTTATTAAGTGAAAAATATGATGAACTACAAGCCATTTGAAACTTCAATAGAAGCAGACAAAAAAATAGACATTGGCGAAAATGTACTCAAGTCAAGAAAGGTCAATACCAAAAATTGATTGGAAGACTAATCAGCTATACCATACTTGGGAAATTGCATTTGCGGTAAGCCTCATAAGTCAATTTATGTATCCAAAGAATCTCGCCTTTAAGATACATAATGTTCTTAATATTGGAAATCAAATATTGAAAAAATAATTATCTATAAAATACATAAAACGCTAAAGATTTAAGGCTATACTAGTGTTCTTTATGTGGGATCACATGTGGATAGAAGATCAACATCAAGCTATTTGATTGGGGGGGGGGGTCACATCGTCTGATGTAGGCAAGGGGGGTCAAATCAAATCCTAAATTTTGGTTTTGACTACTCTTGGGCTTGCTAGCTCATTAATACTTTGAGCTGAACTTTAGCTCATTATGAGCTATTTTTTTAGTTCATTTATTGATGTAAAAAGTTTAGCTCATTTATGTAAGTTTAGTGGAAGCTCATTATGGTGGATCTTTGCCCTTTGGTTCCCGTGGCTGGCTGCTTGGCTCCCGTGGATGGCTGCTTGGTTCCTGTGGCTGGCTGCTTGGTTCCTGCGGCGGTCTGCTTGGTTCCTGCGGCTGTCTGCTTGGTTCCCGTGGCTTTTCTTCTCTGTTTTGTTGTACCGTTTGGGGGCTGATGTGTTATGACTGTTGGCCTTTCATTTCCCTAAATCTAATAGGTTTTAATTAATGTTTTAGGTGGCTGTTTGGGGGGGGGGGGTTCCATGGGATTTTCTCTGTTTTTTGTGCAGTTTTCCTGCAGCAGATTTGTTGTCTTTTGGCCTTATGATTGTTGTCTTTTGGCCTTCTATTTGGTGTCTTTTAGTTTTCCATATTCCCTAATTTAGGTGGCTGTTTGGTTGCCCTTTTCTTCTATAAATAGGAGATTTTTTGAGGCTTAAAAAGAATGTTAGAATGTGATTTTTGGAATAGAAAAAAACCTGCGGGTTTGTTGTTTGGAAAAGCTTGCGAGCTTTGTCCAACTTCCCTCATTTCTTTCTTCTTTGAGAAAGCTTGCGAGCTTGTCTCCATTTCTTCTCGGCTTCTTATCTCTTCTTCTACCCGCAAGAATCCACCCCACTTGTATCATTCTTCTCAATCCAAGAAAGCAACTTTAGGTGTATTTTTATGTTCTAGTGTTGTTTGTAAGTCAAAGTTGTAAGCGTCCTGTAAGCGTCTCTTATAATACTAAAGTTTGTTGTCTAATTTGTCTAGTTTTAGTGAGTTCTTGTAATCTTCTATTGTTTAGGAATAGTCTCTTTTGTTAGCAAAAATTTGGGGCCCTTGCATCAAGTTTGGTACGTATCAGAGCTTAGGTTTTGGTGTCTTCCTTTCTATTTCAAAAAAAAAAAATTATGCACACTCATCGACAAATGGAGGATCCAAAGCAAGAAAAAAAAATGATCCAGAAAAAGTACGCGGCTTTGATTCAACAATTGGATGTGGCACCTTCAACACATCATGAAAGTTTTAAAGTCATCTCATCAGTGTATGAGAACTCTCAACAAGGGGAGAATTGATGTAGGCAAAAGAGGCCTTTTGGTGTTCCCCATGTTGATTTTAATTCCCAATAGATGCCTTTTCGGTTTCCCCTTTATAAGCCATTTAATGCTTCGATTTTCCCACACTTTTGGGGCTGTTTTGATGCTTCGATTTCTTCCCCAGGCGGCTGCTCCTTCAGTTCCTGCTTGCTGTGAAGGGTATTCTATTGGCTGATTTTGAGTTGCATTAAATACATGTATTAATTATCTATTTTTTTTTAACTTTTTCTTCCTCTATATAAGGGCTATTTTGTGGTTGTTTTAGAAGAGTTTTTGTGAGTGAGAAAATATTTGGAAAGTAAACCTGCGGGTTTTCTCTAGCTTGCGAGCTAGCTTCTTTCTCCTTCCCCTCTTTGAATTCGTCTCAGACTTCTTATCTATTTCTTCTCTCCGCAAGTGTCCACCCCATTGTATCTTTCTTCTCTTTAAAAACTTATATGGTAGTTGTGTTGTTGTTACAAGCTTATAGTGTCAAATTTAGTGTTTTTTGTCATCTTTGAAGGATTTTGAAAGGAAGACGAATCTCTTAATTTGCAACCTTAGCTTTCAATAATTTTGGTTGCATCAATTTTGTATCAAAGCAAGTTCTTATTCCGGTTTCTCGAGTAAAATCTTGGTAAGTCATAGCAGTTGTTGTGAGAGTTTTGTTTTGTTGAGTCTTTTTAGAAAAAAATGGAAAAATACAAAAATAGTGATCCAGTGGAAAAATGCAAGCCAGAAGATCTTGAAGTCCCTCTTCCGATGGATAGATGGGTTCCGACTGAAGGAGATTCAACAGATCCGCTACAAAACGAGTTGTATAAAATCCAATATCTAATGTTCTTATGTGATGAGAAATACGAGAAAAGGAAGAAATTTCTTCAAGACCAATTCGAGAAAGAGCAAGAAGATATCCTGAAGAAATTCGAGGCAAAGATTCAAGAACTTGATGCGCCTTCTTCGCCTCCTCAGAATAAAGCTAAAGACAACTCATCGGGAGATGAGTTTTTCAAGTTGGGGAGTCTGATGTAGGCAAGGGGGGGGGGGTCAAATCAAATCCTAAATTTTGGTTTTGACTACTCTTGGGCTTGCTAGCTCATTAATACTTTGAGCTGAAATTTAGCTCATTATGAGCTGTTTTTTAGTTCATTTATTGAAGTAAAAAGTTTAGCTCATTTATGTAAGTTTAGTGGAAGCTCATTATGGTGGATCTTGGCTGCTTGGTTCCCGTGGCTGGCTGCTTGGCTCCCGTGGATGGCTGCTTGGTTCCGCGGCTGGCTGCTTGGTTCTTGCGGCTGGCTGCTTGGTTCCTGCGGCTGTCTGATTGGTTCCCAAGTTCTCAATTGATGAAGTTTGAACCAAGTTCTCATTCCTTACAACATTACTTGATTGAGCTTGATTTTGTTTTAAATTATGCCAAGTTAAGTTCATTTGATTTGAGTTCTGAGCATAGTCCCAAGTCCTTGGTTGTTCAAATGTGTCCAAACCTTTATTTTCTTTGAGTTCAAAAAGGTCCGAGTGTAGCAACATTTTCACCCGAAATTTCGGCAGCCTTCCGGCGTCTCCCCCGTTTAGGGGAAAACTACGGAAAAACTGGGCCTTTCCCACCACGCTAAGAAAAGCGTGCTGGTAGATGCCCTTTTCGAGGACACCGTGGCGGCCGGTGATTTTTGATCCCCCCGGCAGTAGTTTTTTTTTGTTTGTAAAAAAAGTATTTTTTTATTGATATTTTTGCAAGACAACAGTTATTCCTCCCCGCAAGCGGGTACTTAGGGTATCCCCGCTTTCGTCGGCGCATCGCACCGGGATCCCTTCTCACCACGCTAAGAAAAGCATGCATAGGCGGGTTTCCAAGGCGATACGAACTTCGAAGAAGGAATTTGGTGATTACCCGCTTCGTCGCAAGCGTCGAGACGCACTCCCTCCCACCACGCTAAGAAAAGCATGCATAGGTGGTCTTTGTCTCGACGATGCGATGAAACGGGTTCTCAGAGTTTTAGGGCTAGAGAGTTATACCTTGGCGGTCGTCGGCGCGGGTCGAGGGAGAAAGAGGTATAGTATTTTTCTTTTTAACATTTTTTTTAAACTATTTTATTAACTAATTATAATTAATTATATACTATTCTTAGTTAATTATATTACTCTTAATTAATATAATTAAATAATTAATTATGTTATTAAATATTAATTAAAGATGATTAATTATAATTAAATTATAATTAATCCATATTAATTAACTTTAACAAATAATAATTAATTGTTAATAATTAATGATAATTAAAAAAGTATTAATTAAGATTAATTTAAAAAAAATAATTATAATTAATTAAAAATTAATTATAATCATTTAATTAAAATTAAATATAATTAATAGTAATAAATATAATTAATTAAAATAATTATAATTAAAAAATAATTAATTAAAATAAATTACAGCTTTTCCTCTCCACTCTCTCTGTTTGGCGGATCGACGGGATTTTGCCGGAGATTACAGCGGGAATTAAGCCGAATGTACACAAAATCTAGCTAAACGATTTTGGTGTGCACGTTAAATCCCGGCGATGGGTAAATCCTGGATTTAAAGATTTACAGCTTAAATCCCGAATTTACTAAATCCCTCTTGTTCGGTGGATTTCGGGATTTGGCCGAAGATAGGCACGTGAGAGGGGGAGAAAGTTACCCTCACAGTGAGCTCCCGTTGATGCTTCCGATCGAATGTGGTAACTTCCGATCCAGCAGGCAGGGACGGCGTCGGATGAGGAGCGACGAGTTCAATTAGGTAAGATCGGCACTCTCTCTTTCTCTCTCTCTCTCTCTCTCTCTCTCTCTCTCTCTCTCTCGGCCAGAGGAGGTCGGCAAAGGCAGTGGGGATCGGGAGGCTTTGACTGCAGGAGGAGAGATGGACGAGGCTTTGTGGTGGGTCGGAGATGAGAGGGGAGGTCCGACTGGGATTTCGGAAGAAGAGAGGAGAGCAGCGTGAGGGTTCGGTCGGACTGCAGGAGGAGAGATGGACGAGGCTTTGTGGTGGGTCGGAGATGAGAGGGGAGGTCCGACTGGGATTTCGGAAGAAGAGAGGAGAGCAGCGTGAGGGTTCGGTCGAGGCTTGGAGTCGAGAGTAGGCGGGATTTGCGAATGGAGAGATGGAGTTCGTGTGTGTAAGAAGTGCCCTTAGAACGAACGCTTCGTTCGCGTTTTAAAGGCGGAGGCAGAGGCGAGCTCGAGGCGTGCGATCGAGACATGCGAGGCGATACTTCGGCGCCGTTGCAGACTGCCGATAGGGTGTAAGCGGGATTTTTGCCAGGGATTCGGGATGGGCTTCACGCACAGGTAATGATTTTAGGCATTTTTTATTATTTTCTCTTTTTTTTGTCTTAACCGTTGAGGTCAACAACTATAAAGATGTTATTGCATCAATCGTATGTCCTCGTAGCCACTGCAATTGTCTCAAATCAATCAATTGCATGAGTTTTGTTATCATTTGTGAGTGAATGACATTTACATGTTCTTTATTCATCACAAGTTTTGCATTCGTCATATGTCCTCACATCTTATTCATGAGTGTGTATCTTCATTTAATTATGAGCATGATTGAGGTGCATTGTTTGTATTCATGACATGCACCACTTCTAATTCAATGGATTGTTATTTGCATGCAAATTTTATATGTAACTTTATTCACCATAATTTTCTCACTTGCATATTTGAGTCTGATTTTCATTATCAGCTTAAATTTTTTTACTTTAAGTATTAGGTCATTTTCTCTACAGTTCAAATCAGATTCAATGTTAAGTTCGTTGTTATTCGATGTAAATTCAAGTCTTTGTTAATTGTTTAAGTTTTGTTCAAGTCCCCTATTGCTCAAAAGTTTGCAAATTCGGTCCCCTGTAATTTGTTCAATTCTTATGCGTCTTTAGACTGAATTTTGACAGCCTCGTGACGTTTCTCTTGTTTATGGTAAACTACAGGAGTCTTAGCTTGCCCTCCACGTTAAGAAAGACGTGCACAGGGTGACACCGTGGCCATAGTCTTCATCCCCACCAAGCCAAGAAAGGCGTGTATGGGTCTTTGAAAGTACTTGTTTGAAAACGTAGTCGTTTTCCCGATGACACTGAGGCGCGTACGGGTATTTATATTTTGCCTTGCTGTGCTAAGGAAAGCACGCCTAAGGCTCGCCGCAAGAATCACGACGATCTTTCCCCCACCATGCTAAGAAAATCACATATGGGATTGCAGATCTCTATTGAGAGTCAACTGTGAAGTTGGACCGATAAGCTGGATATCAGAAGATCTTGATTGCTGTGAGGAGGCAGTTTGGTGGATTGAGGGATTCGAATTAAGCCAACGTGGATGGGGATTGCAGGAACGAGACGTTGGATAGGTCAGAACTTAGAGATGGAAGGTTCGGCGGTTTGCTTGCATGAAGAAGGCAGGACGGACGAAGGCTACTTGATAAATTATAGATGACGGGCTTGAGTCGGATTCAAATTGTGAGAGGAAGTCGGCGTGAAGTGTAAACGGGAGAGGGCTCTCAAGGCTGAAGAAGAAAAAAGGTTTTCATTCTTTTTCATTTTAAGAACGAGAGGGGCATTTGCTCATGACGAACTATGCTTGAGACACGAAGTTTTGGCTGGGATTTAAGGGATTTGAGCAGCGATTTCATCAGAGACATTCGAGGTAATTCAATGTGATTTGATTTGAGAAGCTAATTTTTTATTTTATTAAATTAATAATAATATTTAATAATAAAATATAATTATTACTAAATTAGAATAAAAATACTGCGATGATCTCCCCAAAAAAGATCTCGATTCACATGCATTCCTCAAATTGGGTGCAATTGTATTGAAAGTCGCACCGATTTACATGCGCGATTTTTGTTGGTCAAATTTATAGCTCATTTTGGGTATCAACGACATTCCGAACACAATGATGAAGTTTATTTTGCGATCAGACGTCGTTCGGGCAACGTCACACGTCAATTTTCTCAATTTGTGAGTCGTCGCCACGGGACCCGCTTCGATTTCCCGGCATGCCTTTCATTGACCAAATTGAAAGTGATTTTAGAGCATTGATAACATTTCGAACGCAAAGGCGAAGTCCGTTTTGCAATCATCATTCAATTTCCTTGATTTGCACGCATTGCCTTGGGATGCATGTCGATATTCTCGCGCGACTTCAATTGCTTAAATTGACTGTCATTGTTGAGTATTGATGACATTCCAAGCGCAACGATGAAGTTCGTTTTGCGATCAGATGCTTTTTGGGCAACATTGCATGTCAAATTTCTAGATTTGCTCGTCATTGCCTCTTAATTCATGCATTCGTCTTGGACTACCCCAATCGAACATGTTGATAATGATTTTTGGGTGTCGACGATGTTCCGGATGTAACGACAAAATTCGTTTTGCGATCGGACATTGTTTAGGCGATGCCATGCGTTAATTTCGGGTCTTAGCCGTCCCTTTGGTCCAATCTCGTCCAATTTGACTTTGAGGGGTTTCCACTTAGGCAATTTTGACGTCATAATTGCAACGGCATAGTCCATTTAGCAATCGGAGGTCTTTTGACCTTTCTAGTGATGCGTCGTGTCGACGTGGGTGTTGCTTAAATCACTGTTTTCACATTTTTTGCACGTGGTTTGATGTGTCGGGGTCAACAAAGAGCATGCATATTCAACGGGTAATGAATGCGCCAACAACAAAAAGAAAATTGGCATCCTGCAGCTTCAAGAGCATGCAGTTTCAATCAGGAATTAATTTGGCTGGATGGCGGCACACAATTTTAAGGGAATACTTAGGAAAAGCTTTAAATTGTTATAATTATTACTCTTTCTAGAATTATATATATTCCAGATATGATCTAGGCCGCTCTATATATAAATAAATTTTGCGTGTATTGTAGAAGGCAAGCCTCTTAGCCATCTATGTATGGTATATTTGCATTCATTATCTCCTCACAATACTCCATATTGGATGGAAGTTTTATATTTCAGATTCCTATTGGAATTTTACTTGATATCTTTATGCATTGAAGTTTGTTTTGAATTTATTTGTATAATTTAGGTTTCTTACCGATTTTTTTTGTTTTAGCAGTTGTAACAATCATTTTTTATTTTATTTTTTTTTATTCAGTTGTAACAATCATCCTTTTATATTTTCTACTGCATGTTGCTAGGCCTAAGCAGTGACAGAGGGACATAACTTAGGCAGCCTGCTGCTGTTAAACAATTCGGTGTATACTGCATTGTAGTCATAGCAATGTTTTTTCTTGCCTCTGAAAGTGCTCCATCGTCACTTTTCTAAAAAACACATCTAAATTTTGCATAGCATCAACTCTTCCCTCTATGCTTTATGTCTAGGGCTTTCTGATACACAGTTAAGTTCAGCCCATTATGCTGCTCAGTTGCAGTTTTCGATTTTCCAGCAATTACTACTTTACTATTTCATTTGGCAACCAATTTTAGATTATCATTAGTCAAAATCTTCCTTCAACAGATTTTTTTTTTCTACTTAACTGACTTGTACATACATCAACTCTGAATGTTTTTATTAGGCTTTGTTGCTATTGTATAAGGTATAGTTTAAATTTAAAGTTAATTCTTGGGCAGTCTTCTAGATACATACCAAGGAGCTTATAGGTGGCCAGAGGGCGTCCCACCTAATTATAGGAGGTCAGAGGGCATCACTCTTTCAAATAAAGATGTCCAGTTATTTGCATCAACTGGGGCCATTAGGTTTCCTTTGCCAAAATCAGACGCCTGGACAGAGAAGGTATGTCACTATGTTGTAGAGAATTTTTATATTGCATCAAACGCTGGATTGCATGCTTGATGTTGTTTGATTATTCCAGATAAGAAGGCTTAATCTCCTACTCACTGAGAAGGAATCTGCCATGGATGTACCAGCCAATCTAGAGGCTAGAAGACGAATTTCATTCTTCAGTAATTCTCTATTTATGAGCATGCCTGATGCACCAAAAGTGAGAACTATGCTCCCATTCTCGTAAGTTCTGAAAGCCTCTCAAAGCTATGCTTACTATCGTTGTTTCTTAATCAATATTCAGCTAGATATGTTTAATATCATGTTACCTTTGTATCTGATGCAAAGCTTTTGTAAAAGTGCATTTGGTCTTTTTTCTTCTTTCTTATTTTTATCAAATAGTACCGCTTTTTACTTTGCTTTGTGTATGTAATACTATCTTTCTGAATGTAATGTTTTGCTCTACTCTGTATTCTATGGTCAATAAGTTTTAATCTGAGTATTTATCACCTGAAATCATTCAAAATATTTAATGTTGTTTATCTGGAATGGTGAAATTATCTGGACGTGTTTTAATTTGATCTTCTTTGTTATGTTATTATTTTTCCCAGATATAATAATTTGAAGAATGGTGGCTTATGACTTGACATTTCTTTTTCCAATTTTAATTTACCTTCTTAGAATGTTAATTCTTGTTAATACTTACTGTATGTTTTTTTGTTAAATAAATATCTTTTAGAGGTTCTGGGTAATCTTACACTGCACACTGCATATCTGCATTGGTTTTGGGTTAAAGCTTATATATGACTTCACTTGTACAACGCTTTTTCAAAATATCTTGATAGTACAATTATTCCTTAAAAACAAAATTATGAACTAAAATATTTTGTGAACCTATTTATTGAATTATTTATTGATTATTAGTGCTGGTCAACTCTGTTTCAGTGTTTTAACTCCATACTACAATGAAGATGTTATTTTCTCACTTCCTCACCTGGAAGAGGAAAATGAAGATGGAGTTTCCATCCTATTCTATTTGCAAAAAATTTATCCAGGTACCATCTTTTATAATGTGTTCGTTGGCACCCTATGGCAGGACACTGATTTGCTGGATGTTATAGTCTTACTTTTATTCAATTATCTATTTGGACAGATGAATGGAATAACTTCCTTGAACGTGTAAATCATGATTCAGAAGAAGAACTCAAATCTGACACAGACCTTCAAGAGGAACTACGTCTATGGGCGTCGTATAGGGGCCAAACGCTGTCTCGCACTGGTGCAGCGCACTTATTCCTTTAGGATGCTGCTTTGAGTTTCTCTTTCTATGAGCTGGCGGTTTAAAAAAATTTTCGCTTTAATCTTATTATTGTCGTTCTGTGTTTTCAGTTAGAGGTATGATGTATCATCGAAAAGCTTTGGAGCTTCAGTCTTTCCTTGACATGGCCAATAATAAAGGTAATTGATAGTCACATCTTTTGCTGATTTACTTTTTTTTTTTCTAACTCATCAAATGGTTCCTTTCTCTGATGCTTGCCTTTTTTTTTTCTCATCACTTAATATAGATCTTATGGAAGGCTATAAAGCACTCGAATTATCTTCAGAGGAACATTCAAGCGGAAGATCTTTGTGGGCACAGTGCCAGGCTGTGGCTGATATGAAATTCACCTACGTAGTATCTTGCCAGCAATATGGAGCGCAAAAGCGTTCTGGCTTACAACAAGCGCAAGATATTCTAAGGCTTATGACCATGTATGTGTGATTATCTCTTAGCAGCATGCATGTAAATGATATGCAAAAGATAGCATAATTTTCTCTTATGAGGACCACATGTTACTAATGCTGAGCACTATATATGACTTATTTGGTCAAAATTGTTCTTGCTGCTCCTTACCGCATTCTGCACTTAATTGATGAAAACGCAAAATAAAACCGTGGTAAGGCGATGAGTCTAGTAATCACTAGTGATTACGATTTGCTTGACAAGTAGTGAGGTGAGTCACAATGTTGAAAAGACAGTGAAGGTGGAGGCTTGGGCATGATCAAATTGAGGGAAATATATATGAATTTTTATAAAAGTGTTCTTTTCTTTATTCCTTATTTGCATTAGAGCCTGTTTTTGGTCCTCTAAGACCCATGTAAGCTGTAACAGGTTTGCTTTTAGATCCTTTAACAGTTTGGAAACCAAGTGGATGATGTGGACCCAACCCTCCGTGGAAAGTAATTCAGATGCGTTTCCAAATACATTTCATTTTGGATCACTTTTGAGACAACATATTCGCTGAAGTGAGCCTAATTTTGTGGCAGACAAGAATCAACTACATAGTTATATCTAGCTCACTTGTCTCCTTTAGTAGAAGCCTGATGAGTCTGAAAGGGTGATCATATTATTAATATGTTGTTATCTTACTACATGTTGTTTTAGCATCCCGTTATAATGTTATGCAGGAATTATGAGTGGGTATGAGTTACTCTCGGGCAATTCATATGGGGCTTGAGTCATTTGCTTTATTTTGTAAAATTCGTTTAAGGTGATTTAAAACAATATAGAAATGTCAATGAGATTGATAAATTTATCAGATATTTTAGGGATTCATTTTAAGGATTAACTCATTGTGGTTCAATTAATTAACCTTCATGTTTAGCTAATTAACCCATTTTGGGTTATTATGTGTTAATTATCGGGGTTGGCTATTTGTCAACTTTGTCCATGCAAGAACAACTTGTGATACTTGCCATGTGCATCACACTCTAATGATGCATGACAATTGTTCAACATCAAGCATGAATAAAATACCAACAAGAATTCTTGAAAGAATCATCCATCCAAGAAATACAAAGCCTCATGCGTTTTCTTCTTATAAAATTTAATCAACTGTTGCAGTCGATAATACATTCAGCCTACTAGGTTTGGGTAAATTTGTCAGTTTTAAGATATTAGTAACCCCTGCTGCTAATGTTAACATGGTTTATGCTGAGAACTGGAAGCGAACCCATTTCTCCGATTCACCTAACTACTTCCCACTAAACGCCTGCTTCATTTCTCCTGATAGATACTCTGTTGGGAATTTTGAAAAAAGGCATGTTTTATCTGTGAAAACATTTATAACGAGAGCCTGCACAAAAGAACCTCAGTTCGATGTTAGCTTTCCTTTTTTCATAATTTCGATAAATTCAATTCCCAAAATCTGTAAATTTCTGTTAGTTGACTTTTGGAGTTTTGTTGATATTCTCTGACGCTATTTGCTAAGAATGTCTTAAAAATCATTCATGGCATGCTAAGATGATTTCACTTTGCAGGTATCCATCACTTCGTGTGGCATATATTGATGAGGTTGAACTACCTCAGGAGAATAGGAAGGTTGAAAAGATTTATTATTCAACATTAGTGAAGGCTGCTGCTTTACCTGACGATGATAATGCTGCAGACCCTGTGCAGAATCTTGATCAGGTGATTGGCTTTTTTTTTTTCTTGCTCTTGTCACTGTTTTCATCAGATTCGAACTTGTAGGAAAAAGCAAAAAAAAAAAAAAAAAAAAACATAAATCTGCATCTATAAGACTTATGTTCAAAGTAGAAAGTGCAGCACCTGTGCCTTAGACCTCCAACCAACAATTTTGTCCCGCAAAACAGTTTTAATTTTGTAATAAACTGTGGCTATGGAGCTCAGATGATGCTTAAACTCCAAGCATTCCTCCCCCTCAAAATAAAATACAAAGAACAGCAAATGGCCTGAAAATGGAAGTGCTTTTGATTTTATCATCATAATTCAACTCCGCAAATAATCCAAAAACCTGTGAGATATTAGGTTTAATAGGAAATTAGCACTTCTCGGTAATTTCTCAGAAGTGATAGAGAGCGAGAAATCACACTTAAAATAAATGTGACACTCTCATTAGCACCATTACACAGGCAGAAATCCAAATCCACCTGTAAACCACACTTAAATAGCACATCTATTGTTTTCAAACCCCCTGCCAGTGCAATCCAAATAAAAATAGAGAATTTAAGAGCAAGTAAGAAAGATTTAAAGTAGTGATATTAGAGTTGCTGAATCTGAACCAATTAACAGGCTGCAAGTTATCATAATATGCAAGTAAGAAAGATTTAAAGTAGTGACATCAGAGTTGCTGAATCTGATATCAAGGGAGCAGCAGGCACCGGGACATTGAGAATAACTTGTTTAATGTGCAGTGGGGCACTATCAGGTAGCTTCCAGGAGGTAGAAATAATATAGTCCTTCACAAGGCTAAAGGAGTTAAAAAAGGAGAGAGATTCTCAAGACCAAACAAAACAACCAAGTTCATGCCATAACCAGTGGTCCCAAATCATGGAGTGAGAGCTATCGTTTCTGATAATAAAGGAGAAAAGGCGTTTAGTTAGATGCCACCAAATGAACAAATTTTCAAAAAGGAGTAGCTTCAGTAGGGGGCGTTGTCCAAGGGGAAGGATAGTGTGCTTTGCACCAGCTGGCTAATGGGCTATCAAATTGTACAGACGTCTAATGAGGGAACAATCAAAAACATGATAAAGGGCGGAGATGCTAGGGATACCCAGCCCCTCAAACTTCTTAGGAAGACAGGTGTTTCTCGAAGAAATAAGATGCTTTTTTTTTTTTAACTTTTGAAGTCACCATGAAAAAATAATTTGGCACACATCTTGTCAATGAGTTTAGAACATGATTTTGATAAAATGGCCCCCCTTATCCAATAAGCGATGGTGTTCCAAATAGTAAATCTCACAAACTCTAGTCTACCTGCAAAAGAAATTAAATTTGCTTTCAAGGTCGAGAGCAGAAAGGTGATTTTCTTAGTAAGAAAATCAAAGTCTGATAGGTGCAGCTTCCTGGAAGAGATGGAGAGGCCAGGTATAAAGGCCCAGGTACATCAGATAATTCCCCGCCAAGTTAAGGTTTGAGAATATTGCAAATATCCAAAGCCAGAGGAGTGTGTTGGGAAAATATAATAGAGCCCTTGGCATTGTTAATTTTTAGCCCAGAAAAGGAGGGAAAAAATAGCAATATTTCCATTCGGGGAGGTAGCATTCTATAAGGTGGCCTTACCAAATATCAATAGATCTTCAGCTTATAGAAAATGAGTAAAGTTAAGATTCTTAACGTTGATCCCTTGAAATAATTGTGAAGAGGTGGTAGAATGCAACAAATTGGGTATAGCGTCCATGGCAAAATACAAAATGTAGGTAGAGAGTGGGCAACTGTGTCTGAGGCTCGAGGTAGATGGAAAGAAACCATCCAGATCTCCATTGAAGTACAATGAAAAATGAACATTAGAAATACAGGCTTTGATCCATGAAATGAAAATCAGAGGCAGACTTTTTTGCACAAGCCTTTTTAAAAATAAAATCCCTAGAGATAATATCAAAGGCCTTGAAAATATCCAGTTTTAGCACAGGGCAACTAAAGAGCAGGCTTTTTGTTGACTCTTTTAACATTTTAGATGCCAGTATAATGTTTTCAGAAGATATCTTGTCCTGAATAAACCCAGCTTGGGCAGGATGAATCAAGCTACTCATAATAGGTTTGAGATTGTTTGCAAGTATCTTGACAATGATTTTATTAAAGATATTGCAAAGAGAGATCGATTTGAAATCAGCAACATCTTTATCATGACAAAGCGTAGGAATTAAAGCAACAATAGAGATTTGGCTCTTTTGGGAAGGTAATAGGTTTTGAAAAAAGTACTTGGTAGCTTTGCAAACATAACTCCCAATAGTCTCAAGTATTCTTGTATAACTCAAAGGTGAACCTGTCAGGCCCAGGTGCATAAGATGAGGGTGAGGAAAAAACAGTAGCTTTTATTTCATCATCAGTAATGGGGCTAATCAGCTGAAGAGCTAGGTGAGGATGAATGACTTGACCCAAATAATTGGCAGTGAGGTCAGTGTTGGAGGGCCTTGGGGAGTTGTATGAATTGGAAAAGTGGTGAATAAGGGCACTAGATGTGTCTTGAGGAGAAGAGGTGTCAACAGGAGTAGAAACCTCCTTAATCAGGTTATAGTTCTCCCTAATATTAATTTTGGCATACAAAAACTTAAGGTCATCCTTGACTTCAAAAATCCACTTGGTTTTGGATCTCTGCCTAATCCAAGAAGACCAAGAGGAAGCACATAAAGGCAATTGCTCATTGCAGATTGTAAGAGAGCTGAATTCAAAGAGGGGTTCCAAAGGGTCTTGGTTAAGAAGAGACAAGAGCTCTTGCTGGTGGGATTTGAAGTTTAACATTTTGACCTCTAAATGTGAGGAAGACCACATTTTCATTTTAACAGCTTCTTTAAGCGCCTACAAATACTGATAAAAAACAGAAATTAGATTCCCCAGTTTCTGTTGAGAAGGAACATCAATGAGAGTATCCCAAAACCTTCGCTCCTTAGTCCAGAAGTAATTAAACATGAACCTATGCTTAAGTTTTCGAGGGTTATTAGTAAGATGATGTGAGAGTGATCAAAAGAGGTTGGGCTATCCACTTTGTAGTAAGACAAAGGAAACTTGTCAAGCCATAAATCACTAGGCATCTTTTTTCAAAAACAAATAGGTAAATAGTTATCACCATATTTTAAAAATGGGCTTATTTTATATATAAGATAACTTTTTTATTGATAGCTGTTCTGAAGTTAAAGTTTGATGATGTTGTATGCACCTTCTCGATAGGAATCTTTTTGTTTTTTCCTGTTCCTGTATCTAAGCATGTGTAGCTTTAAATTGTTTTAATCACTTGTATGTTTCTCTATTCATAGGTCATCTACCGGATAAAACTTCCAGGTCCTGCTATTTTGGGTGAAGGCAAGCCAGAAAATCAAAATCATGCCATTATTTTCACTCGTGGTGAAGGTTTGCAGACAATAGACATGAATCAGGTAGCTTTTGATCTTTCTGAATCTCATTTAATATTGATATTTAATGTTTTCAATGGTTTCTATTCATCTAGGATAATTATCTGGAAGAGGCATTAAAAATGAGAAATCTGCTTCAAGAGTTCTTAAAAAAACATGATGGTGTGAGATACCCTTCAATTCTTGGTGTCAGGGAGCACATATTCACGGGAAGGTAGGGCTTGCGAATTTCTGTTTAAAATGATTGCTTTATGTTAAATGCTTTTTCTGCCTTCGTCTTCTCCTGGAAATCTTAGAGGTTTGTTCCTGCTTCTTGCAGTGTTTCTTCTCTTGCATGGTTTATGTCAAATCAGGAAACAAGTTTTGTGACAATTGGTCAGCGTTTGCTTGCAAATCCTCTTAGGTAAGATTTCCTCTTCAGCAACATGAAGAATAAATGTTTGATATTTTTGTTAAAGCTCTAGGGCTAATCCTCTTTTCAGTCTTTGCACAGGAAGAAACGTTTTTATATCAATGCTTCAGTTTGAGGAGATATTTTTTATTATCTTTCAATAATTGCTTTCAGTAATCCTCATAATTGAGGATATTCATGCATGATTTTCTTCTTCTTTTTTTTTCCTTATATTTTCTTATAGACATACCCTTTAGATAATACTTCTTCTTTTTTATATCATTTACACCCATTTTTGTGCTTTAATGTTGCAGACACGGCAAAATGTTAATTTTTTGTATCCGAAGTTTCGATGAACTTTTGATTAAATTAAAAGGTTTGAAATTTTGTTTGCTAAAGTTGTAGGATTAGGTTAGTGATTTTGAGATATAATGATGCAACACAAATGATAAATGTTAAGTTCAATTTCAATATTTTTGTATTTAGTTTATTTATTCATTTTGTTTGTTAAATTATCATTTGTGGATAATTTCAGGTTTGAATTTGAATCATACCATAGCATTAAGTTTAGATAAGTTTAAATTTAAATAATTATTCCTATTTTTTGAACTTATCATATAACCTGTTTCTATGAAGTTGTTTTCATGACCTGTAATTGATGATAACTTAATAATTTGATTCAACATATTTTCTTCATCTTCTCTGTCCTAGTAAATTTCATTGTCTATTGACTCCTCCCTCGCAGAAGTTTCTCAGCTTTTCCTCTGTCACGAAATTAATTGATATCCTCATGCATGCTAATTGAACTGATTTGAAACCCAACCCCATCTATTGAAGTAGTAGATTAATGCCAGTGTTCTTCAAGGATTAATGATTGACATATTGAGCAACAAGATCTTTTTCAACACTCATTATTTCTATTCTTAACACTTGTGATTTTTACCTAGTGAAAATGTTCCTCATATTAGGGAATTGTTTTGCCTTCTTTAGATTATTATATTATGAAGAAATATTCAAAATAGTCCAACTAAGCTAAATCAAAATATTCTGCCATTGAAGAAAGGTGTCAAAGGTCTCGGATAATTTGTGCGGTCACAATGCTAAATCATTTGAGGGTCATAAATGAGGTTAATGTTGATTGGTGTTATGAGGCTTGTGTGGTTTGGTCATGCAAATTCTGGTTGTAGAAATTATAGGAGGAACGATGTGAGCAGTTGAGAAGCAAGGGATTATTGTTGGGTTTAGGTTTAGGGAATATCTCGATTAAATTCATTTAGTGATTATCAAATAATGTGATGATCATAAAGATAAGTAAAAAGGATATGATCAACTATTTTAATTTAAATCTAAACTTATCAACTTTAAAATCTATCCTAATAAATCAAATTCAAACTTGAAATTATCTTAAAATGTAATTTAACTAACCAAATGCATGAATCAAATCTAAAATACTAAAAAATTCAAAATATATTGAAATTAAACTTAGCCGTAATCTCTTGTGCTGCATTACATTGGTTGTAATTAAAAAAAAAAAAAAAGGTTGTTATTCATTGCAATGTTATATTAAGCATTCCGTTTTTCTTTTGAATATTTCTAACGCTGGATCTTTTATTCTCCTCAGCCTCCAATATGGTAAATATGTGTGTACATTGCCTATTTACTGTTGTAAAATGATTGTAGTAGTGTCAGCACATCCCTGAGTAGTTCTCACTCAATTTTCATGTTTGGTTCCTTGAATAGAATCAGAAGTAGATTATAAATTCCAGTTGCTTCTCTCATAATTTTCTTATTATACAGTTCTTTGTTTCTTGCTGTTTAGGGTTCGATTTCACTATGGTCACCCGGATGTTTTTGATAGACTCTTTCATCTCACGAGAGGTGGTGTGAGTAAGGCTTCCAAGATAATTAATTTAAGCGAGGACATCTTTGCTGGTATCTTCATGAATTAAGTTGAATTATGTATTCACTATTTTCCAAGACAATGATAGCAAACTCATCAACAATCTGAGTACTTTTTATTTCTTCTGTGGTGTAGGTTTCAATTCCACTCTCCGTGAAGGCAGTGTTACGCATCACGAATACTTGCAAGTAGGTAAAGGAAGAGATGTGGGCCTTAATCAGATATCGCTATTTGAAGCAAAGATTGCAAATGGAAATGGCGAGCAGACATTGAGCCGTGACATATATAGACTTGGTCACCGTTTTGATTTCTTTAGGATGATGTCATGTTATTTTACAACTGTGGGATCTTATTTTAGTACTCTGGTATATCTCAGTTTTTACCTCAAAATTCTAAGGACTTTTTGAATTTATGAATTGAAGCTGATCATCTTTTTTTATTTTTTATTTTTCTTTAAATTGCAGTTGACTGTCCTGACAGTATATGTTTTTCTATATGGACGTCTCTATCTTGTTCTTAGTGGACTTGATGAAGGTTTGGCAACTGGTAAAAGGTTCATTCACAACCATCCCCTTCAAGTTGCTCTTGCCTCACAATCCTTTGTGCAGCTTGGGTTTTTGATGGCTCTACCCATGATGATGGAAATTGGTCTTGAAAAAGGATTCCGGAAGGCACTAAGTGAATTCATCATGATGCAGTTACAATTAGCTTCTGTTTTCTTCACATATTCTCTTGGAACCAAAACTCACTATTATGGAAGGACATTGCTTCATGGAGGTGCTGAGTATAGGGGTACAGGCCGTGGTTTTGTTGTCTTCCATGCCAAGTTTGCTGAGAACTATCGGCTTTACTCTCGTAGTCATTTTGTCAAGGGCATGGAGTTGTTGATCTTACTTGTTGTTTATCAAATATTTGGGCAGCCTTATAGATCTGCAGTTGCATACATATTTATTACTGCTTCTATGTGGTTTATGGTTGGGACTTGGTTGTTTGCTCCATTTTTGTTCAATCCTTCTGGATTTGAATGGCAAAAAATTGTTGATGACTGGACTGATTGGAACAAGTGGATCAGCAACCGTGGTGGGATTGGCGTGCAAGCAGATAAAAGCTGGGAATCATGGTGGGAGAAGGAGCAAGACCATCTGAAATATTCGGGAAAGCGAGGGATCACTACTGAGATACTGCTGTCATTTCGATTTTTCATTTATCAATACGGGCTTCTCTATCACTTGCATATAACTAAGACAAAGAGCATATTGGTATATCTATAACTAGTTATCTTAAGCAAGATGATATGTTGCAATATCACAGGTGAAAATGGGAATCTTAACTTAATTGGTTCCTTGTTTTACAGGTATATGGCGTTTCTTGGCTTGTGATCTTGGTAGTATTGCTTGTCATGAAGGTGAGCTCTTATGATTCTTGGCAGAATCTAAATTTTTTGTCGTCCATGATAACTTACCTAAATTATTATTTCTTTTCATATCTGGTTAATGTTGATTTGTTTTCATGGAGTGAATTTGTCATTGTAGTCTTCAGCACGATCTGGTTTGATGCAAATTTCTTTCTTTGAGTGTCTTCGGTTGTAAACTCACTAGTGATTGTTCTTTGAGGCACCCCAACATTCTAGGATTCAGTTTCAAAATATATTGTGTTAGTTTCAGTTTTGTTGGGTTCATAAGTTTCCAAGTATCCATTTTCATCTTGGTTACCTTCTTTTTCTTGTTCAAGAATTAAGAATTTTTTTAAAAATTGCATTCTAATACCAACTTTTTCCTACTAACTTCAATATTAAAGCTTCGTTTGGGATGACTTTCTTATCGTTTCTTAAAGCAACTTTTTAGTACAAAATTTTTAATTTTTATAATAAAAATCTGTCTTACGAAGCAATAAGAAAGCAGTCCCAAATAAAGCCTAAATTTGCTTGCAATATTGAAATAGTGGGAGTCTGATTATCTAAATACATATAATCTTGTATTAATCAAGTTTCATTTTTTGTTTGTTTAAGTGATATAAGCCTATTTTAAACAGGCATGTTGTATCAATTTCAGGAGCTATTTACAACCTTAGTTCTCTGGACCTCTCTATCTCTCTTCAATTTTAAATAGGGAGATTTACATGCGTACTATCATATACTATTCTATTTACATATTTAACATCTAAACCTTTAATATTACATACATACCACCCATAGTTCATTTTAATATCAAATATGAGTGATAGAAATGAAATATATGAGTGGTGGGAAGGAAATATGAGTAGTATATTTGATATTAAAATAATATAGGGTGGTATGTATGTAATATTAAAATTTTAGGTATTAGATATGTAAATAGGATGATATAAAATGACATGTATGTAAATTACTAAATTTCCCTTTTAAAAATATCTGTGTCTTGTTTATTAACTCATTAACTATTCGCAATAATCTCGTCTCATTATTGTTATCTTGTGCAGACTGTATCTGTTGGAAGGCAAAGATTCAGTGCGGACTTTCAGCTTGTTTTCCGGTTGATCAAGTTCTTAATCTTTGTTACATTCATGTCTATTCTGATCATCTTGATCGCTATCCCTCACATGACCTTCCAGGATATCATAGTTTGTTTCCTCGCTTTCTTGCCAACTGGTTGGGGTCTACTTTTGGTACGCTTACACTATCATTTAACTTTACCATCTTATCTTATATTTCATTATTTTATTTCTTGTTTGATTCCTAACTTCTTTTAATGTTTTGTTCAGATTGCACAAGCATGCAAAGGTGCTATGCGCAGATTTGGGCTGTGGGGCTCCATTAAAGCTCTTGCTCGAGGCTATGAGATTATGATGGGGCTGCTTCTTTTCACTCCTATAGCCTTCTTGGCATGGTTTCCCTTTGTTTCTGAATTCCAGACAAGAATGTTATTCAATCAAGCTTTCAGTAGAGGACTTCAGATTTCTCGCATTCTTGGTGGACACAAGAAGGATAGAGCTCGAAACAAGGATTAAATTAATAGTGAATGAAGTTGGCATGCAAACCATGACCAGAAGATTGGAGCATTTGTATGTTATTCTTCCAAAACTACTAATTTTTTCCAAGTTTTTTTGTTTTTTTGTTTCCTTTGTATCTTTTGTATGAGCAGGGTTTTCTGTGTTTTTGGGTGCCAATGACCCATAATATATCTGATATTGGTGATGACTTGTTTGAAATTTCATTAATGAAAATGTAGTTATTGGGTTTTTGGCAGCTATAAATCTGTCTTTATTCCATCCCTTTGAAATTTCCAGTATTTGTTGTAGCACTCTATTCTGATCTTCTGGGTTTATACATTCTGCAGTTACTGTTGGAACCCACAAAAAAAAATGTTGGGCGCCTTTTTTTCTTTTGGTCTTGGGCATCTTACTGTGATATGCACTGTTTGTTTAATTTGATTTTTTTGAAACTTAATTCTAATAATAAGTTGTGATATTTTATTGTTGATTTTTTTGTAGATGTCAATTTTTAGAGTTTTTTTTTTTTTTTTGAGCTTATATATTAATTTATTATTATAATGAGTTATAATTTAACTCATCATTTCATCACTTTAATATCATTTTATTTCTATTAAAAATATATAAAAATAATAATTTTGTTTTTTTGTCCCTTGAGATTGAAATTCACCTCATCATTTTGAATTTCCTCAAATCAAAATTTTGAAGTACATTAAAAAAAAAATTGAATTACATATACATGATTTTAGATGTAGCTTTTAAGATCTTGATTATTAATTATTTAATATATTAGCATGCAGGCTTAGTGTTTATTTGGGATGACTTTCATATTGATTCTTAAAATATTTTTTAATATAAAACTTAAAATTATTTTAAAAAGTAATAATAAAGTTGGCTTAAATGAAGCACTAGTGTTGTACTTAAGTGCTTATTTCACATAGCTTTTTTTTTTTGGATACTTTGCTTCTCAAACAATTATAATTTTATAATTTTCTCATTTTCAAAAACATCTGAGATAAAAATACTTTTTATAATTATATTAGCAAAATTATTATTTTTTTTATAACCCATTTTATAAAACGTTACAACCATCTCAAACATATTATAAATTATGTCTAATGCATTTTGAAAACCCTAATTTCATACATCAGTTATCTTTTTTATTTTTGTTTTCTAATATTCAGTTTATTGATTTAAAAAAAATAATTGCTCATTATATCTAAATATAAATTTTGATGACGAATTGATATGAAAAATGAAGACAAAATTAGTTTAAAGATGATGCATAACTTTTAAATTTTACTTTATATACAAGATACCTTGAGATTTGAAAACTTGCAAAGGATACTGAAATCATTTGATTAATATTATTTTTCATTGGGTTTGTATGTAGGGTACATTGCACAATATTTTCATATAAATTTCATTTGTGGCTCTTTGAATAAATATAACAATGATGATGGTCATTAATACTTGTACATACATATCAGTATTAGCATGTCCATTAACCTTTTTTAGAGCAGATAGAACAAACTCTTTCCACCCCCTTGGGCATTTTAAGTGATATTTAATGTTAGTGAAATTATTCTATGCAGACGCCGAACGCCGTTCAGAGGCCAACCAAAATGTGCCACATCACCCCCTGCTCAGTACCCGGCTTGGTACCACTCGGTACAGCTCGATATCCATCTCGGTACCATTGATGTGGCGCATTCTGATTGGTCTCTGCACGGTGAAATGTGTTTGACGTCAGTTCACTGTCCGCACAGAATAATCTCTCCAACGCATAATGTTTGATCATGGTATAAAGCTTAGTACAACTGAATTATATTAGAAATGGAGGTATTGTAACTGCTTTTGTATAAAGGTTAGCGTTCTATAAATTTTTAATCTATGGATTCTACAACTAAGGGAAATGTTGACAAATCAAATTCCTTCATTCCCAGCTTCTCATTTAATTCACATATATATCAAACAAGGCATAATGCGTGTAATGAAACAGGTTAACATACTTACAATGTTGCAAACATATAATAATTTCTGTACATGACGCATGCAGAAATACCTATAATTTGCGGTTGCTGGAAGCTGGCAAAAAAGTTAAGACCAAATCTCATTTAAGAAACTATGGAAATTTCAGATACTTACAGCTTTAAATTTCTCTATTATGCTTTATTTATTGCTTCTGCGCAGGTGAATCAATATTATATCTTCATTTTGTCGAGTTATTCTGATTTTGTCATCTATGTACCTGCAAATAAGGAAGAAATCATGGCCGACTTGAGATAAGTTTATCAGTTCAGTTGTTGCAGAGCAGAAATGCGTACCGTACGTGGATAGTTTGTAACAAATTATATCTATTAAGAAAACCAATATGTCGAAAGATCTAACTTTAAATAATGCAAATTGGCAACTTACAATAGTTCCATGCTGTAACTAGTTTTCATATCGAAGGGGAATCTGATTGAGCCAGTAACATATGCTGCACTATTTATTGTTGCTTTAAATTTAGTTGCATCAGACTTACTGCAGAATACAACATAATAGAATGTAAGTCTACATTATGTTAGAATATCCTGATAGAAATTATATAAAGATGGATTTGAATATTATTGAATTTAGTTTGAAATTAGTGCTGCATATAAAGTAAAGAAAATCTAATGATTTTCAAACCCATAATAAACTAATTTTTATTTCATATTGAAATGTGCCGTGCATAATTTTTTTCTTGAAGTTTTTTCAGTAAGATGAAACGGAAAATTCAATTTTAATGCACAATTTCTTCAGGAAATCAAGGTTTGAGAGAGATGATTGTAGTGGATTTTCTACTATTTAGACACTAATCGCAATATATAATTGTGCAACTTGAGAGTTTATGATTTATGAATTTGGATGTAGTCATGTGATAATATGTAGCTCATTATAAATCTATATTAGCAAATTTAGAGGTGTCAATATTGGACCCGACCCGAACCCGATCCGAAAATTTCGGGTTCGGGTTCGGGCAACCTGAACCCGAAACGGATCGGGTTCGGGTTGACCCGTTGACCGAAAATGACCCTTTTTTGACCCAAAAAACCCGTTTTAACTCGCCAACCCGAGATTGATCCGTTTTTACCCGAAATGCAGAGTTTGACCCAATTTTGGACTCGAAAGCTAGCAATTTTTTGTTCGACCAAGGTCATTCGAGTCGGCCGGACCCGGAGCGGGTTGGGTTCGGGTCCAGAAAACCGACCCGTTTTCATAAATGGGTCGGGTTCGGGTTGACCCGAATAATGTCGGGTCAATTTCGGGTTCGACTCGAACCTGACCCGTGACCCGAAATTGACACCCCTAAGCAAATTCTATAACCTCCAACGTCCTACATTAGTTAGATCAATATTTATGCTTCATTTGAGACAACTTTTTTATTGCTTCTTAAAGCAACTTTTTAGTATAAAAATTTATTTTTTGTACTTGAAAGCTATTTTAAGAAGCAGTAAGAAAACCGTCCCAAACTAAACTTTAATCGAGCTAGGTCTAAACTAGATCAACAAGTGAATGCATGCATATGAATGAATACAAATATGCATTTATCTAATACATTCATGCAACTATATATACAAATGCACACATATTTGTTAGACAATGAACTTTTTTTAAAAGATCCAAAATTGATCATAAATTGAACAAGTTTAGATAGAATTTAACTGAGTAAAGTAGGCCTACTTGAATTGAAATCAAATAATCCATCCTATAACTAAGCATGACTCAACTTGAGATCTAACTGAATATTATTATTGGCATTCTCTATTTCTACGGCTTTCTTTACATGTGACTGGCAACTGTGGGTATAACTCTTCAATGGCTGATTATGATAACTACTTGGGGGTTTTGTATTATAATATAAGAGGAAAAATTGATTACCGATTGCATAAAACTTCACTTTGGATTTCAAATTCCTTGAACTCAAAAGTTTTAGTTGATCAAATGAGAGACTTGAAGGATTCTAAAAGAAGCTTTCTCCTTGTACCAGCACGTTGCTTACTTTCTGGTGAATTCTTAAATTAATTCTTCTTCCTTCTTCTATGTTTGCTATTGGTGATTTACATTTAGTTTTGTTATTTTATTAAAGATAATGAATAGCTATTTAAGATTAATGTTTCTTATCGTTAAATTTTGTCGATATGAATTTCTTATCTCACATTAGATTTGCATTAAGAACTTTAAACAAATAGACATCTTACATCATATTTAGTATCAAAGTTACAACTGCTTCATAATATCTTCTAGATGTAGCATATAAAAATATGAACGATTACTAAAACAACAAAATGATCTAATTTAAATGAAATCAGTCTAGATATGAATCTAGACAAGTTAAATAATTCGGATGGAGTTACGAGTTGTATTCCTGCATTCCTGGGAACCCAATGGTATTTTCATATTAGACAGATAACTTGGAAGCGTTTTTTTTAATGATGAAATAAGGTTGATCCCCATAGGTTGAAAAATAATAGAACTAGTTCAAATATATTGGCAAAATATGAAATCACTAAATGACAAGAGGGGGGGGGTGAATTGTGAAAAACTTTTTCTCAATAAAAAGTAACCCTAAACAGGAGTTCTAATCTTTTTGTTATTTTTGAAATTTGACAACAAAAACTTAAACAAATTTTCTTTCACAAATTTCACCACGCAATAATTATGAAAAAATTAAGTGCAAGTAAAAGTAAATGAAGATAAGAAAAAAACACACCAAGATTTTTATAGTGGTTCGGTCAAACAATGACCTACGTCCACTCC